TGCTTTGTCCTTCTTTGATCTTCAGTAAATCCAAAAGTAATAATATTTGATTTCCTACGGTTCCGCTCTTCAATTTCTTAAAGAACCTCCTCATAATCCATTGGTGATGAAGACTGTGCAGGAAGAGGAGATTCCTTTTTCAGCTTTTCTAGTTCCTTTATGTAAATTATCAACTTTTTGATTTAATTTTGGAACCAGCCTAATTCCCAAAAAACAATCGCCCAATAAAACTTGAGTAGTCGTTTGCCTTTTAAGGCTATCACCTTTAGCTCAGAGCCATTGAGTTCGGAACATTCTGAATGAATAGGTCTCTCGCAGCTATCACAGGATAAACAGGAACAATTATCTTTTTACATTTTAAACATTCCATGATCGAAACTAGCCTCTGGAGTACCGCAAGGTTCAAACCTAGATCCCTTGCTCTTTTTATTCTTCATAAATAACCTAGCCGCTTCACTAAAGTCTGAGTCTCTACTATTTGCTCATGATCTAAAAATCTACACCAAAATTACAAATTTGGAGAGCTGTATTTCCTGTCAGGACGATCTGCGTACCATCACATAGTGGTGCGACAATAATATTCTCTTCTTAAATATTTCCAAATGCAAAGTGTGTCGTAAAATGAACCCGATTATGTTTGATTACTCCATAAATAATGCGGTTTTGGAGAGAACAACAGAGACTAAAGATCTTGGTGTAACATTTTCCTGCAGATTGGACTTTTCTGTCTATGTAGCACGCGTCACTTCCGAAGCGACACGGATTCTGGGGTTCATAATGCGTAACTGCCGATCTTTTTCCAACAAAACGGCACTAAAAGCTCTTTTCATTTCACTGGTGCGGCCAAAACTTGAGTAAGCTTTTTTGATATGGAACCCTTTCGATGCGTATTATACAGACATCTTAGAAAATGTACAAAGAAAATTTCTTAAATACTGTGGTTATAAAATCGATGGCACATATCCAGAAAGGGGGGTCTCTCAATTTGTTCTGCTGCGTCGTTTTGAGCAGTTAAGACGTTCCACTGCTGGCCTGTCATTCCTTCATAAGTTTTTGCACGACAGAATGTTAAATTTCTGTATTCCACGGTTACATACGAGAAGAACTCTAACTTTCTACTGCAGTACCTCCCGTACCAATGTATTATTTTATTCTCCGCTACATTCTATATGCAACAATTATAATTCCATAGAAGACAGTTCTGACATTAATTTTGATTTTATCAGTAAGGTCTTGTCGAATTTCAGGTACTGTGATAATAGCTAATTCTGTTTTTCAAGTTAGTTTTATGTATACATTATACGTATGTATTATAAGTAAAATACCATTATATTGTCCTCTAATTGGAATAGTTCTGTTGGGCAATTATGTATAAAATAAAATAAATTAAAAATAAAATGCGCATACGCGTCACCGTTATAGAACATGTCTCCGATGGGTTGCAACAAAACTTATGATACTATCAAATACATCCTGTTTTTGTCATTTTGATACGGCAATGTCGATTAATGATACGATAACTTTGAGCTACTATCAAAATTTTTGGAAATGGTGTTATGGTGTAAGTCAGTGTACATCATAAGTAACAGTATTGGAAGTGTTTTTCTGAAAAACGATCCACTTTATCAAAATTAATATTTTAAAGATTATTGTGCAATAGAAAATATAATTTCTGGGGCACTATCATACAGGGTGTAAAAGTATTGAATTAGGGCTAGTTCGTCTCTGGCGATCTAAATGAGTTGACTGTTTTCTAAGGACGCCATTGCGTGAAGCCCCAATTGGTTAGAATGCTGGCAACTGTTGGCTATAGGATGTTATTTAAGAGTTATTCAAGAAAAGCATGCTTCCAGTGTCTTCGTTTAGGGTACTGTATCTCCGAAACAAGGCGGAACTTCGAAAATCATTAGAAGAAGGATTAGTCTTGCAGTATATCCCAAAGTATCACCGATTGTATGGTTGCCCAAGGTGTTGGTATAATGAAAAGTATAGATTATCTTTATACGTGTACCCTGTGTGGATATAAAACAGTGTAAAGTAGAGAAAATAATAACATGCTGGATAATACTCGTAACAAAGTGATATAAACTGATACTACAGTACGGTATACCTATTTGTCATAAAACTAATTGTAGACGCTTTTAGCAGGTAATGTATATAACAAAAGAGGATGTACCGTTTGCTGTGTACAGTATTTATTGATAACTACAATATGTCCTTAATCCCCCAATACTTATGAAAAGGAAGAGAAATTGTAATTGGAGACACCCAAAGTAAGAGAATGCTGAAGAGACATTTGCGCTTCGACACGGCAGAAGTACATGGAATGAACAGAAAAAACGGTGGTTGAATATTTTATGTGCTACTTGCCAGTTTTCTTATTCAGAACACACATACAGAAGACAGGGATAAGTGTGTGAAACCCCGTAGGCAGCAAAGTGATAAGACACAAAGGAAACTGCAAGGCATGTTATCCTCAATTGTTGTGCCTTAGGTAGAAAAAGACCAACCTACCTAGTAAATTAAGGAGAAAGACAATAGGAGACTCAGCAAGAATTTCAAAATACTCGATTAGGTTTATGGCTGAATTATAGCTACGTAAAACTGAATTCTGAGTTCTTTTAGCTATTCATCATTTGTTTGTCTGGGCGGTCCGTAGTACCTTTGCCCAATTCTTTTAGCTGAAAAAGTTTGAGTTGGAACAGATTGTATATTTTGCCACTAGTAACTATTTTTTCACTACTAACTACTAGAAATCATTATTTACCGCATTCCTACAAATATAAGTCACATTCTTCCAGCTAGGTAAATAATTATAAAACCCAGGTGAATAATGAATCTGGGCGTCCATGTATAATTTATTTGTCTTAAGTAAGCCAGACTAGGTCGAGTATAAATAAGGAGTTTTAAGATAATATTGCGTTTAAAGTATGCTTCTTGTTTTCAATATTTAAATTCTAATCCATCGCACTCACACTAATTTATTCCTATACTTGCAACTGATTTATTACAAAATGACTATATCGATTGGACTATGGTGACCCGCGCTGTCGACTCATCCGTCTATTCCACTTCTCTGCCCTCGACGCGTATATTTATCTTGGATTGGATGAGTCCGGAAGCACTCCCGCGTTGTCTGCATCGAAGTCGAACTTTCACCGAAGCCTAGTAGATAGCGGTCGATGTTTCTCGAAGCGTTGCAAAGATAGACCTAAATTAATCATGATCTGAGGTACAGATGTACAGTCTATTATAAAACTGAAATTACGATTATTGATTACATTTATTTATGTCATTATTTGACAGCTTGATGCTACTTGATACATTGGAGTACTGGAAAATAAGTGGGAAACCAAAGATTTAGACATAATTGTAGCAGCGGCGTTCTTCTCCTAAGCACCGCTCTGTGATGCAGGCTTTGCGTTGAATTTACCTGACATTGTTGCCGGACGTTAAGGAAATTATCAGATATGCTATTTCAATGTCTAACCAAATTGAATGTGGCAAAAAATATCATATTGAATAGTGAAAAAATTCTATACATATCCCGGCTGAGAAAGCCATAATTTAACTGCATAGTTCTCCACCAAGGTATGTGGGCACAATAGTGTACGTACAAACAAAATCAATTTGAGAGACATCTAATGGGTGATTTTTTTGCTAGCATCTTTTTGGCAACACTGTTTTTGACAGAGTTGCGTGAATCGTGTCTTGTGCCATTGTCAAACTTGTTCAGTTTGGTCTATAATTTAACCATGAATCGACTTACGAACGAACAACGCTTGCAAATTATTGAATTTTACTATCAAAGTTCATGCTCGGTTAAGAGAGTGCATCGAGTACTGCTTCCAATTTATGGGCAATTTGGTCGGCCTACTGAGGGAGCTATTCGGAAGCTTGTGACTAAATTTCGAACCCAGTTCACATTATTGGACATTAAACCACCAACACGCAGACGTAGAGTGAGGACTGAAGAAAATATTGCGGCTGTATCCGCCAGTGTTAGTGATGACTGAAATGTCGATTCGCCGCCGTTCGCAGCAATTGGGCCTCTGTTACTCCACTACGTGGAAAATTGCGACAGGATTTGGGTGTAAAGCCTTATAAGATACAGCTGGTGCAAGAATTGAATCCACACGACCTGCCACAACGTTTCCCATTTGGTGAATGGGCGCTGGCAAAGTTAGAGGAAGATCCATATTTTTATCGAAAAATTGTGTTCAGCGACGAAGCTCACTTCTGGTTGAATGGGTACGTTAACAAGCAAAATTGCCGCATCTGGAGTGAAGTCCAGCCAGAAGCATTGCAAGAGCTACCAATCCATCCCGAAAAAATCACTGTTTGGTGTGGATTATGGGCCGGTGGCATCATCGGGCCGTACTTCTTCAAAGACGACAATGGCCGGAACGTAACTGTGGATGGCGAGCGCTACCGTGCGATGATAACAAACTTTTTTGTGCCCAAAATGGAAGAGCTGGACTTGACTGACATGTAGTTTCAACAAGACAGTGCCACATGCCACACCGCACACGAAACAATGGCCCTATTGAGAGGCGAGTTCGGTGAACAGTTTATCTCACGTTTGGGGCCCGTCAATTGGCCGACTAGATCGTGTGATTTAACGCCGTTGGACTTCTTGTGGGGCCATGTTAAGGCTAATGTCTACAGGGATAAACCAGCAACGATTGACGCACTGGAAGCCAATATTGAAGCATCTATTCGTGAGATGCCGGCCGATATGTTGGAGCGAGTGTGCCAAAATTGGACCTTGCGCATGGGCCATCTAAAGCGGAGCCGCGGCCAACATTTACATGACATCTTTAAACATTAAATTATATCGACCGTTCTATCGACTCAAATAAAGATTTAATCGTTTTTTCAGATTTTTTGTGTTTTTTTTTTAAATCAAATCCTATACCTCTTAAAAAATCACCCGTTAGAATCGTTTACCTTTGGTAGTAGATATATCTACGTAATTTCATAAATGTATTTATTTTCAGATACTTTGATAGATTTGAAATGTGCTCTTCAGCCCTGCACGTGAGGAACTGTTATCCAAAAGGGGATGGGATATCAAATCAGGAGCACATGTTAGCTAAGCCAATTTTACGTATTTGGTAAGTTTTTCTATTTTTTCTACACACACATATGTTTAAAGAAGTATTGTCAGTTCCAAATTTTAGATAACTAAAATGGTTCCTGTTGTCTCGAATTGTTCCATAGTATGGAAAATTTTGATTCCTTCAATAGATAAAGTACAATAACCTTGATCATCTGATATACTATAGGGAAACTGATTGATGAACAGACAGGTTGAATACCATCGACTTGCAAGTTCAGCAGCCTAAAAGTTTAATGACATCTAGCTTTGTTGCAAAGTTGATATTCTAAATACTATGCCGTCGGAAAATATTTTGATTGATTTTGTAGACCTTTGATGGGAAAAGCAATTTTCCCATGTGCGTAATGCGTGAAGTAAACTTTACGGTAAAAAGAGTGGTATCGTGTTTTTCGAGCTTTTGCACTGCGGATGGACCGCGCTGGTAAAGGATATCATTACATTCTGCATTAACATTTTTCCATTAATGCTGGAAAATAAGGTTTGAAACCCGTTAATATTTAGCTGTGACCCTTTACTCGGCAACCCAGTTTACTTATAGATAGATTTTGTTTCTGAATTGGCAATAACATTTTCTCGGTGGAACGCCTTGATGCAAGCTAAAAGCATATTAGATCCACTCAGTTTGACGCACGTTCCAAAGTTTGCCATGAGGTTGGTTCCAGGAAGATATCAATTTTGTCGATTAGAATTATAAGCTTTTGGCAGAGCATTTTGCTTAACGCAATGGTCTGCTTGGCTCGTAACACAGTCCAGCATATCAAACAGGGTGTATGTATGGAGCAAAATTCAAAGGGTACTGGTACTCGTCTACTTTATAAGCAAAAGCTAAATTTGGATCACATTAATCCTCAAAAACTTTTCAAAATGACTAATACCTCTAGCTAGTATGCAAAATCTACAAGGTTCTCTTGATAGACAGCTGCAATTTTTCACATACACCAGGGCATGAGAAAAGTATCCGGAAATCGTTGGATAGTGGACTGGAATATGTAGAATTTCAGAAAAAAAATGTATAGACATATTTTAAGTCAGAAATATATTCTTGAGGGTAAATGAAAAAGTTCTCCATCTAGAGATACAAAATTCTGCTGGGTAACTTTACTTAACCATCATGACAAAATACATTTTTCCCTATATCAACAGAAAATATTAAGTATTGGAATATCTGGTTCAAATAAAGTCATAGAGCATGAAACGACCCGCAAAATGAGACCATGTATATGTTCAACTAACTTCATTCAAAAAATCGCCAGTTTGCAAATTTATTTATAACAAAAAATGGCGTTTATAGAAAAATACTCAACATTTTCTGAAAATTTAAGGAGGAACCATTCCATCAAATTGGATATACAGGATCTCATTTCAAAAGCATTTTCTTGCTCTACAACTCTTCTATAGATCACTTAGTCTAATTCTGTTTTTCTTTAATATACCCGAAAAATTGATTTTACCAATTTTCACGTTAAAGTTAAACTGTAATCTCTCGGCTAAAGATAGATAGATGCTTTATTGTCTTCGGATCTTAGGAATGATATAAGACTCATCAGGCATATCTCTATGAGTACATTATTATCTACAAAAATTAAAAATATAATTAAGTGTATATACATAAATTTGTCGGTTAAAAATGGAAAGAAACACAGTTTAGTCGAGAAAGGGCAAAGGACGCATGTGCGCACAAATGAAAACATACACTAAACAAGCAGATACAATGATAAACGGAACAAGGTGTAAAATAAGTAAGTACAATAAAAATAGAAAAAAAATAAAAGATACGCATATACGACTAAATATATACACACATATATACACATACATAAGACATATATATATATATACATATATATACACACACATATACATATATACACATATATATACACACATATATATATACATATATATATATATATACAGCCATAGTTTCCTATTTAATTTTTAGGTGCGTCACTCTTACCCTGAAAGAAACTCAGCTACTGAGTAGTAGCATCTTTATATTAACAGATTCCTCAGCTCTTTCTTGAACCTATTTGAGCATCTAATATCTTTTAGTATTGATAGCAACTTATTGAATACCTGAAATTTTCATTTACCTTTAAGGGTATAAATCTGTCCTAAAATCCGTCCATATATTTTTATTTTATAGACTATGTTCCAGAAGCCTAAATGCCGGGACACCGCGGCTGCTATGATGATTCCAAAGAAATTTTGTTAATCCGATTGTTAAACTGCCTAAGGTTAATAGAACTGGAAAAAGCTTCCTACTGTAGACTGTTCCACAATCTCGACATCCTCGGGACAAAGGACCGGTCGTATAGGCCAGTTGAGATAGTTAGAATGATTTAAAGATCGAAAATGACCTGACCTATAGTCTACGGTTTCAAACCACCTAGGTCAAATCAATAAGAAATGCTACTGGATGCAAGACCTCATGGGAAAGATTAAGCATTATACTCTGCCTGACGGTAGTTGCTTATCAAAAAGCTTCATGTGTGATTCGCTGATCGAAAATGTTAGCTTCGTAGAATGTTTCGATCTGTATTTTCAAAACAAAACGTGTTTAAAAAATCGCCGGAGAACAAAACAATCTTAGCCTAAAAATCACCTAAACTTTTGTCCTATGGTTTGGAAACCTGCCGTATAATACGAGATGCTGCTGGAACACTAAATTCCTTATCCTGCAAGATATTCTAAGAATCCTTTCGATACCAAATATTCTTCTTGTTGCTTTTAGGCATTGTCCGAGTTATTACATGGATTATTATTTGAAGTCTAATCGATAATCGGTATGAATTTGATTGAAATTCCATCGTGTTTCCTTAGGCGCTATGCCGCTTTGACCTTTATTCTCCATAACGCAGTATTTTGCTACGTCTCAGAGCAGACTAAAATTTAATTCACCAGGGGCTGAATCTAAATGAGCTTAGACCGTTGAAATTGATTTCGATGGCGTCTTGTGACGATATACTTGAATCGCTATGATAATTTGGACATCTGATTATATTGATCTTCTATATTAAAATTATCATGGCAGTGTCAAAATTATTAAAGCGAATCAAGTATGTAGAATGAAGCCCCATGACTATGCAGTTAAAGAAAGTAGATTAAAGTACTAAAATGCAATATAGTTTCACAGTATAAGCATTTACTGTTCGACTTAATAACGTCTGTTATGTTATTATGTCACGTAATCATTCTACATCTGAGAACAATGAGGCATACTACACAATTTTCATTTCAGTGAAATATTGATTCTTATAACCTATTAACTAAAAATCGCAAACCTTTCCTCCACAGTTTAAACGTATTTCGAGTCAAAGGGATAACTTAGTAGTAAGTGGAATGTCAGCGTACTTTAGCTACGAAGGTTAGGCTTCAAACCTGAGGAAAACAACGTTAATTGCCTGATTTCACAAGGTGTGGTCGCATTCTATCTATATCTGGAATAAAAAACAAATCTCATTGCCTTCTTCCCCTAGTGGAATTTAAATAATATACTATTTCAGCTATTGGAAAAAAAATCTGGATAGAGAATATTACATTTTCTAGTCTCAGAAAGAAGAAGAAATACCTTTAATGTCACATTTTACAATTTTCTGCTAGTGAGATTCAGAAAATAAGCTTCTTCCACAGAAAATGCAGCAGTAACATCAACGTGCTTTTCCGGGACATATCAGCGGCTCACTGACGATTTCTATTTTAGTTACTCTTAGAGCTTATGTGATAGAAAATCGAATTATGTATTTAATTACTGTTATATGAAATAAGTAAAGAATCTAAACAAAATAGAACAACAGTATCTCAAATCCAAATCTAAAGTGATGCAGTGAATGTGATTCCTAACATTGTTTCTGTTGTAATATTTCTTTTATTTTAGGCATTAAACCTGATGTTGATTGTAACAAGTCACAAATATGTTGCGCACTTAATGATAAGCGGTATTTATTTCTTACATAATTAAGGTTTGAAAATTGTTTTAACAAACACATGCATGTTGATCCGATATGACTTCGGAGACACTTTGTCAGCAAAAAGATTTTTTAGTGCATAACAATTTTGTACTTCAATAAGTTCCAACTGAATATTGGCAGGATAAGTAATTTTTTGAGTCAGGATTACTGTAATAACCATTCAACATTAGATTCGCACTTAAAACATATGCCAGTAGCAACATTGCGTCTGTCTTTCAAATGATTGGTTGTGGGAAAAAGGTCAATATTTTCTGAAGCTCACCTAATTGAAAATAGATTTAATTTTGCTTTGAATTCTTTTATTAATTGAGCATAGTCGGGAGTGAGCAATTTTTGCCTCGTAAGGGAAATCGACAGCGTGCAAGGTACGCGATATGCAAAACTTTATCCAAATGGCGGGGATTTTATTATTTGCTTGCGCAGTGGGCGTGGAATTCACAGCCTTGGTGTAATCTGAAAAAAAGCTGGAACCTTGCTGATTACTTAGGAACTTGATTTATTTTTCTGGTTTTGTTTCTAGTGTTTGGGTGATGGGAGCCATAGGCTGCACAGGAAACATTGTAGTACTTCTTGGAAGACATTTTGCTCCGACCAACAATGTAGTTCACTCATTATACCTTCGAAATCTTGCATTCTCCGATCTTTTGATGGGAGTCTACCTATTCATTATTGCTGCTGAAGATCTCAACTACCGCGGAGTATATCTCCGCTATCAGTGGGCTTGGAGGCATAGCTTTGTGTGCAAATTTTGCGGTAAACCTTTTATACAGTATGCTAATAATGTTCCTGATCAAACATCGAGGGATGTCACCTTGTGAGATTCGAAGACGAACAGTTTAATACTAACACAATGATTCGTTTTTAAATACAGCCTTTCATATTTTTATGAAGTATCAGGCGACCTAGATGGCAATGAGTATTTGTGCGGTTATGTGGTTCTATTAAAGCATTTTTCTCAGTTGATTTTAATTGAATTATGGATAATACGTCTGTAGCTACTAAATTTCAACAAATTAAAGCAAAATGGGGTGAACAGCACTAAGGACTTACACGAAAAAACAATTTTTCTAAAAAAGATTTATGCAGACTTTTCTTCTTAAATCGCACAAGGAACCAGCCTATAAAGTTTGATCCCGCATTTTTACGATCTATAAAGTATGTGAGGCTAGTATAGCCATATCCAGAGAAAGCCATAAGTCGCAAAGGAATCTTAGTTACTTTTCAAAAAAGTACCAGCCACAAAACAAATGGCATTTGACCACCTATCATTTTTGATGAAAATTTGTATAGTGGCAGTCCATGTTGTGAAGACAAAGTATTTCCGTGGGTACAAACTCCAGAAATGCTTTCTGTTGGAGATACAGTGTGCTAAAGTTTAGTGTTGTAACCCTTTTAGGTAAGTTGGCCTCAATTATTTTTTATGAAAACTAACTTGTCTTTATTCTAGACTTAACGACAATAAAAATCACTTGCGCTCATACAAAACATACAGGGTCCAACGAAGATGGTAAGAAGTGTATTATGAAAACTACGAAAGGTATTTGAAAAGTATATTTCTGGATGATTTGGAGATATATTAGGGCGTTGCACAATTCCGTGACATTACAAACATTTTTCTTAATGAAACACCTTGTATTTTATTATGCATAGTCAGCTAACCGTTCTAATAGGGAAGTACTAAACTTGATTTTGGAAGAAACTTCTAGTGAGTCTAATGCTGTAAAAATATATGAAATATTCCATTTAAAATATTTGATATAAACAACGTTTTGCGTTTAGTTACTGATAAAGTTGGCGTATCTTTCCATTCTCTCTCTCACTTCTTGTTTTTGAAAGGGCTTTCCAAATATCTAACATAATATAGAGTGTTCTACGTACCACGGAAATTGAAAGACACTGTATATTTCAGTATAATTCAGAGATACGTAACTACATACCTACAAGGTGTCAACCTTATTAAGCGAACCGTTTACGAATATCTTATATAATAATAATAATAATAATAATAATAATAATAATAATTTATTAGTCCTGTATGATCACTGATGTGATATAGGATAAGTCAGTCAGAGCACGCCAAAAGCTAATAACAAATCATGTTAGTGTGGACGCACACATATTCGTACTACATATGGCATATTCCAAATATGGATACAGATAAATCAAATTAGCTTATTGATAAAATTTATAAATATAAAACATATATGTATATATAAAAAAGCGAAATAAAGGACAAACCATTAAGTGACATTCAAACAACAATGATCAAAATCAAACAAGACATTCACACATTAAAAATTCCTCAATAGAGTAAAAAGCTTTCTCCAGTAAAAACTGTTTGACTGTTCTTTTAAAAGTGTTCAGTGGTTGTGATTTCAAATGTTTGGGGAGTCTGTTGAAAAACTTAATAGCCATGTATCTAGGGCTCTCCTCCGTTCTCGCCAATCTATGCGACGGCACCTCCAATACTTGACTGTTCCTTGTAAAGTAAGCACCAGTGCTTACAGAATTGAACTTGCTCAATTGTGTTTCAGCAATGATAAGTATATTGAGTATATATACAGATGGTAAGGTTAAAATGTTTAATGTTCTAAATGAATCCTTCCAGCTAGTGAGCCTTCCAATTTTAGCTATTACTCGAACAGCCTTTTTTGCAATACAAATAGTCTTTGCAGCTGGGACAATGCTCCCCATGCTTCTATTCCATAAATTAGGACTGAATGGATATGTGCATGGTAAAATATCAGTAATATCCACTTCTCCACAACAAAACTTAACTGGTACAGACAGTAACAGAGTGGGGCGATCTTTTGGCTACTTTTATCTAAAAATTTAGTCGCATCCACTTGTTTTATTGATTTGCCAAACGATTTTATTAATAAAGTGTGATCCATCGGTGAGGTGGAAAGGTTACATCTAAGGAAAACAGATTTCTGATTATTTAAGACGAGCCCATTATTGCTGAACCACTTGCCTGCACCAGTCAAGCTTGAATTGGCAAGTCCTACAACAGATTCTAGGTTTTTACCATTAACAAGTAAAGAAGTGTCAACAGTATACATTACCGAGCAATCGGAGGGGAAGTCATTGACGTACATTATGTATAAGAGAGGACCAAGTATGGAACCCTGTGGAACACCAGTATGGTTGAAATGTTGGCTGGACTGTGCCTGTTGTACCTGGACATGATGCTTTCTATCCGACACATAGCTATAGAACCAGTCAAATGGCTTCCCTCTGATTCCATATCTATCCATTTTATCTAGCAGAGTACCATAGTCAACGAAGTCAAAAGCTTTGCTTAAATCAAGAAATATAACTATGCATTTTTCTCCTTTATCCATCTTGAGATATAAATCATCTAGGAAACGAAGTACGGCATTTTTGGTTGACATGCCTTTTCTAAATCCAAACTGATTACTATTAAATAATTTTAATCTGTCAAAGAAATTGATGAGTTGTAGAGAGACATATTTCTCAAACACCTTCGAGAAGGGACTAAGAAGTGAGATAGGTCTGAAGTTATACATATCAAACCTATCTCCAGACTTAAACAGCGGCCTAATTTTTGCCATCTTAAGTTTGTCGGGAAAAATTCCTTCTTCGATGGAGCAGTTAATTAAAAAAGCAAGAGGATGGCAAACGATGTCAGATGAAAATTTTAACATGTTAGTGCTAATTCTGTCTGCGCCAAAAGAATTAGAACCTTTAAGATTTTTTATAATAGCTGATATGTCATTTGCTACAGCAGGTCTGAGATAAAATGAATGAATGTTCCTATCTATATTAATACTACTATTTCCCACTTTGTTATCTACGTATAGGTCTGTAATACTATTAAAATGTTGCATAAACTTATCGGCCACCTCTTTTGGTTCTGTTACTAATTCATCTTTCACTTTTAATTTAATTACTTCATGTCTAGATGCATTTTTATTCTGTTTTATTACATTCCAAGCGGTCCTCGTTTGATTATTTAGAATTTAGTATCAATGCGTTATAGTGTAAACGTTTTGCTGCTCTTAAAAAAATAGTTTTTCTATTGAACAACTTTCCATTTTCGTTAGGATATTATTGAGTGAACTGGGACATTAAAGACGAGTTAGTTTTCGTAAAATGGTCAGGGCTACATCCTGTATATGGCTCATGAGATTCCGCGATAGAATGTTTGAGGAGTCGCAGTTAGTAGGAAATCGATTTCCGAAGTCACCAGATTGCTTTTTTGACTCTTGTGCATATTTTTGTCTATACGAGTATAACTGTCACATCTAATATTAACTTCATATATATTGGGTCACACGTTATCTGTATAGGATTCCTGAGTACCTTATCTTGCGAATCATCGGTACTAATCCTGTCCCTGGTCACCTGGGACAGATTCGTGTCCGTAACTCAACCGCTAGCAAGAAAACAACCTTCTCCTAAAGCTGCTGCAGCTACACTTCTTCTGCTGTGGTGCTTAGCCACTTTGGTGGCTTTTGCGCCGATCACTCCTCTAGGGTCCGACTACTTTGGCGATGAGTTCTACGGAAACAACGGTGTATGTCTGTCCTTGCATATCCACGACCCGTATGCCAGAGTAAGTACCTAATAAAATTGTTTGTGGTTAGTCTTGTTGTTACAATGTAGAAAACGTTAGATGATTCCCAAGCATATAATTTAGTCGATCAAATGCCTCCATAGTGGGTTATCACAAAATAGTGGCTTTGCCACTGCAGTTAATGAGTTGTTAGAAAACTTAGAAAGAAAGCTCTCAGTTCGCAAATCGATCGGTTCGTTGAGGTGTAAAAAACGGATCGTAAGATATTACAAGCGGTAGCATATCTACAAGAAATATTACTAGAAGTTAATATGATGTATGATCACATCAGTGACGTAGAAACTGGGATAAGAAAAATAAAAGTACCTTCTACGCCAATGACCTTTTTGGAGAACCGTTGCATTTCTGAATAAAGTGTTTGATTATACGTAAATTGTCCCCTTGAGAAAATGTTGTCATATTCAGTTTGAAGAGAACTTGGTTTGAATATTCGAGATGAAATTCAAATACTTATTTTAAATTTATAGTTCGAAGAATATTCATGCTTTGTCCTTGTACGCAGCGTTTCGATTTATACAAATAAAGGGTGTATCAATAAGAACGGAATATTTGAATTTAGCGCCATTTTGGCAGTCATAATGTCACAATGATTGTGACATGACAGATCAATAGTAGACAGGCAGTTATTATGTGACTGAACTGTATGACAGTCTGTTCTGGAGAATATTTGGTTTCAAATATTCGGAATAGAATTTCAAAATATGTTTCAGAAATGAAAAGAACATTGTAGGACTTATTAAGTATGTACATTGTCTATAACTACTGTGATCCACATAACACATTAAAACCCCTTGCAGCTATGTGACACGTGTTACAGACTTCTGTCCCTCCATAAAATTAACATTAGTTCAAGTATAGAGGAATGGTGAACTGTAATTTGTTGTATTTTCCATTAAAAACCTTTGTACTGTTGAAAGGGACTGCCTACCCTATAAAGGTTCAGTTAACGTAGGCTGTTTCAAACCTAATTAAATTTTCCTCGTTTTCTGTTACTGAAGTTTGGTGCACACCAAATAGCATGTTATGTTCTGAATTTCCGTCTATACACTGTAATCTTCCACAGAGCTTCCGATTAAACTCTTGAGCTTTTTAGAATGGCGCGAAAGTCGTTGTATTCAACAATTGCAAATAACTGGATTACCTTTGCTTACCAATACAGTTTATGGTACGGCCAATGAGAATGAATTCAAAACGCTGGTTTGACCGTATTTGTCGAAAATCCTGAAATAGGTCAATTTCAGGTTCAAAACTTACATGTTATTGCGCAAAAGTATTATCCCTAAATTCCAGTTCCTTCGGATTTTCAAATGGGAATTAAACCAGTCACCAAATATCTCTCTCTATTACTTAATTCAACAGTTACTTTTTCCAGGTCTACGACAAACTGGAACATCTTAAAGATAATACCATTTGATTAACAATAATCGCTACATGTTACAATGAGCTTAGCACCCTTGATTATAGATTGTGAAAGAAATTATAAACAATATGAATCGAATATCAAAATATCTAGCATAAATTTATTGAACTTCGATGTGATGTGATAAAGGTTCACCAAACGGATAATTGATAATACTTAACACTATACATACCAACAGTTAATACGCGTCTATCTACCATAGTCCATAGCCGGTCAAATAATCGGTAGATAATTCTGTGTATACTTATAACAAGTATCAACTAAAATATACAGAATTCAAATAGAATATTACTTTATATAATTACGAATATAAATTAACAGAAAAAATCATTATTCCTTACTTCTGGGACCTCGGTTGGCCGCGTGGGTCAGAGTGTCGTGCTACTGATCAGCCGGCCGGCCGGGCCGCGAGTTCGAATCTCGCCTTCGCCATGGATGTTGTGTGTTTGTTTTAGGCAGCAGCGGTGGCCGCAGTAGTAGACCCTTCGGTCTCCTGATCAGCCGCCGTGCGCTGTGCGGGTTCGAGTCCCGTCCCAGGAGAAATGTTTCTCTTGGCCATGGATGTTGTGATTGTCCGTAGGTGGTAGATGGTCTCTGACTGTCGAACGCGGAGGTACCACCCGGCGGTTCTCGTAGGCGGAGCCAGAATGTGTGCATGTTGCATGCACACGTGTTCCCTCGCCAGAGTCCGTGTGGCGTCCCCCCTTTCCCATGTATCCCCCATAGCCCCACGGTACCCAATGGGTGCTTAGGCCTTAGGCCTTCGTGGTAGTTGGAGTATAAAAAAAAAAAACTAAAAATGCAACTAAAACATTATTCTTGAAAATTAAGCTTTACCACCATCACCGTACTTCCCATGCCTGCTGGCCGTGAAGTGTTGTAGTCGCGAACATTTTCGAAAAATATATATGTTTTTTTGTGACTTGTACAACACGGAAAACCATCTCACTCATTTCTGTCGGTCTGTCTGCCTGTCTTTCTATCGGTCTGTCCCCTAATTTTATAACCACCTATAACTACCGCTCTGATTTCGATTCATATTACTACTATGCCAAGGAACCAAAAGCTTGGCAGTTTCCGAAAACTTCGTTTTTTTGACGTTTCACATGCTCCTGATCATTTTTGGAAATGTTATTTTCAGGGGCTGCAGGGGATTGGGGAAGAGTATATCTCATTTTTATGATGCTGGTATATTTATACGCCTCCAACCCCAGTGACTCTACGCATATATTGGGCATATTTCGCTGATCATAGATATCCCGCACAGATGCCCTTCAAAGTTAGAAATATCTCCTACAATCGGGTGTCGATACGTGAGACGTGGTCCCCCGATAGACAAGCGTGTTCTTCGGTGGTCATACATCACAGTCAGCAGTCGTTTCCGCACTGCTATGGGGTGTGTGTACTGTGCAAGGTGCAGGCATATAGCCTATATCGTCATAGACGCTAGATTAGTCATCGCAATAATCATATGCGCCTGCAGCAATTTCTCTCAGAGGAGTAGGCATGTCATTTAATTTTGCTCGTATACAAATTTTTTATCACCAAGGCTAACTTGTGCCAAACATAATCCTACATGAACAAATGCCAGTGTAGCATGAGAAGTGCAGAGTGAACTTACTTGACATCATTTTTCTAAGTGTAATCTGAACGATCTGAAGGGAGCTTATTTAGATTTCAGAGAAGATTATATGTAAGTTTATGATAAATTATGCTGAGCAAAGAAAAGAGGCAAAGAAGTAGGCCATGTATCCAACTTTTCTTAGCCTTAAAAATGCAGGATGTTCCGGGGCATCCAGGAAATTTGAATCGGTTTGGAGAATCGAGGCCGCAAAACCTTATCCCGGTTCTATAGTCACTTTCTGAACTAAATATAAATAAGCTTCATAATTAAAATACGAACTTGAATTATGTTTAAATCTGCAATTTCCGTTCGCGTTATTTCATCTATTTAACTGGGCGTCACTACTTACTAGTTAGTTGAAGAATGGTTCATGGCTAATAATATTGTTCCTTATAGTAGAAAAACTGAAATTAACCCCAAGTCCCAAATGTTCCAAAAATCCGGGACTCGGTAAGGGTACCATTTCATCACTCCCGGGCTAGTAAGGCGCCTTCAACATTTCGAGAAATGATTGCTTCCTAAAAAGGGAGGACATTTATGTCGTTCTCAAGATACATAGGTTCAATATTTTTGGAAATTATGTTCTTCAAAAAAAATCAATTAGCCAATTTTATTTTTCGTTGAAATTCAATAGGTACACTCGTATTACCGAAAGTTTAGATGAAATCAAATAAAGAAAACCGTCCATAAAACCCAGGCCACTTGAAGAAAACATTAATGGACTTAAATCAGGCGATTTAAATATCCATGTAACGGGTGATTTTTTAAGGTATAGGATTTGATTTTCAAAAAAACCACAAAAAATTTGAATTAACGATTAAATCTTTATTTGAGTCGATAGAACGGTCGATATAATTTAATGTTTAAAGATTATTTCATGTAAATGATGGCCGCGGCTCCGCTTTAGATGGCCCATGCGCAAGGTCCAATTTTGGCACACTCTCTCCCACGTATCGGCCGGTATCTCACGAATAAATGCTTCAATATTGGCTTCTAGTGCGTCAATTGTTGCTGGTTTATCCCTGTAGACATTAGCCTTAACATGGCCCCACAAGAAATAGTCCAACGGCGTTAAATCACACGATCTAGGCGGCCAATTGACGGGCCCCAAACGTGAGATAAACTGTTCACTGAACTCGCCTCTCAATAGGGCCATTGTTTCGTGTGCGGTGTGGCATGTGGCACCGTCTTGTTGAAACCACATGTCAGCCAAGTCCAGCTCTTCCATTTTGGGCAAAAAAAAGTTTGTTATCATCGCACGGTAGCGCTCGCCATTCACAGTTACGTTCCGGCCATTGTCGTCTTTGAAGAAGTACGGCCCGATGATGCCACCGGCCCATTATCCACACCAAACAGTGATTTTTTCGGGATGCATTGGTTGCTATTGCAATGCTTCTGGCTGGTCTTCACTCCAGATGCGGCTATTTTGCTTGTTAATGTACCCATTCAACCAGAAATGAGCTTCGTCGCTGAACGCAATTTTTCGATAAAAATGTGGATCTTCCTCCAACTTTGCCAGCGCCCATTCACCAAATTGGAAACGTTGTGGGAGGTCGTGTGGCTTCAATTCTTGCGCCAGCTGTATCTTATAAGGTTTTACACCCAAATCCTGTCGCAAAATTTTCCACGTAGTGGAGTAACAGAAGCCCAATTGCTGCGAACGGCGGCGAATCGACATTTCACGGTCATCACTAACACTGGCGGATACAACCCCAATATTTTCTTCAGTCCTCACTCTACATCTGCTTGTTGGTGGTTTAATGTCCATTAATGTAAACTGGGTTCGAAATTTAGTGACAAGCTTCCGAATAGCTCCCTCAGTAGGCCGACCAAATTGCCCATAAATTGGAAGCAGTGCTCGATGCACTCTCTTAACCGAGCATGAATTTTGATAGTAAAATTCAATAATTGGCAAGCGTTGTTCGTTCGTAAGTCGACTCATGGTTAAATTATAGACCAAACTGAACAAGTTTGACAATGACACAAGACACGATTCACGCGTCATCTGTCAAAAACAGTGTTGCCAAAAAGATACTAGCAAAAAAATCACCCAATAAAACCATTTTTTAACAGTTTTTTCTTTTATTTTCAGCTATATGATTTCAACGAATTGTAACAAAAGCGACTAGACGGTTAAAACGTTCGGTTCGGTAAAACAGACGTGTGGGTATTGTTCTCATGAACTCTCATGAACCTTGTAAAATATGTATGACGTAACTTTTTGAACTTAGTTCTTGTAATTGCAGGGTTGGCAATACTCGGCTGTGATGTTCATCCTGATCAACACTTTGGCACTGATCTTCATCTGCTACGCGTACCTTCGGATGATCAACGAAATTAGAGCCAGCGGCGTCGCTTGTCGGAGCACCAGGCAGAGTCAGGATAGAGACAAGGTGGCTCAAAGATTTGGAATTATTGTTCTGACTGACTGCCTATGTTGGGTACCCGTAATCACGGTGAAGCTCATCGCCTTAGCAGGTAAATACATTGAACACATTCATAAAAGCACAACGCTTTTGTCTGCGACTGTATCAAATGGACGATAACAATTAAGTGCTGAAAGCTATCGAAATAAGACAGCGCAAAACGCCATCTATTACCAGAATCAACAACTGCGAGAGTGTTTGGAAACTACCGGTTGGAACTGTAAATATCTCAGATCATTTCACCTCAGTGGTCGATTCTGGTAATAGCTGGCACCTTGCATGGACGAAAGTATCATGTTTAGTTATTAAGTGACGCAATTCCCCAAATGCTTATGGGATCCATTTATAAACGTTTCTTGAAAACTTCTTTAAAAAACACTCAAGACTCAAGGAAGGATTTAGCATTTGCATTTCACAGGTAAATAATAATGAAAATTGTTTGCTTTTCCGATTTCCTAGCGAATTGCATATTCACAGAACTACATAAGTAACCAGAGTTGCAATCATCTGCACTCCTTTTTTTGAGCGAAATATATACTGCTTGAAATTTTGCAAGTGTATCGATTAATATTTTTAATCAATCGATGATTTTTCATAGTATCTAATAATTGAACTTAAGTTATCCAAATAAGAGCATAAAACATTCCTGTTATTATACGATAAGAAATAGTTCTACCAAACTTGAGTTTATTCATTTGGCCAATTGTTATATAAGCACTCTACGATTTTTTGTTTAATATTCATTTTTAGTGCAATAAAAATTACGAATCGTTAAGCCTTCCGTATTATTTTTGACAGTGACATCAAGTAAGGATGGTTGGCAATACAAGAGTTTTTGTGATCACTAAAGTGAACCTTGGTAATCTGGCAATCTGGCTACTGCCAGTCATGATTGGTTGTTTTTTTTCGATTTTAACGTAAAACTAACCCCAAAATTTCGAAACCTTGTTAATTTCTTTCAAAGAAAAGTTTTGTTAATATTTGTGTCCAAATCGAACAGGAAAAAAACAAAATCATCAGAACGACAATAAAAAGCTACCTTGGCTACTGCATATGCATATAGGAACATAGGAACAATTCAATTTATTTAGAACACTGCCTATTTCTGGTATTTATTTTTATCTGTGACCTAAAACTCATATTTGTAATACATCTTAACCAACATGTTTTTATAACTTGAAATTATTTCAGTTTGGCTTAGCCAGCTCTACGAATTCCGGCAATAGCCCTCCTCGATTCTCCAAAACTAACGAAGCTTGGATAACGGAGAACGATACTGCCTCGTTACTGCGCAAAATCAAGATAACTAAGTTTATAACGAAGCAGGAAAACAAGAGTACTAAAAACTCTACTGTCCCAGCATTTTTTCATGTCCTTTTCACCCTGTTATCATTATAAATCCTTGTACTCGTAATCTTATTACATTCCCTATTCCAGTTTTTCTAGTTTAATTCGGTTTATTCACTATTATGAAAAATTTACAGATTGTGAGTACAATAATTTTCAAGCTGTACATATACGCTCAAACTGTCAAACTATATTTCTTTCCAATACAGTTTTGCACTGTTTAGTAGCATTTAGCAAAAAACCAAACCGTTCAAAGTGCCAAAATATATACGGCCAGCAAAGAAGACTCTTCGAATTCACGATTGTAGACAACTGTTAAATGCAAATGTTAATATAATTGTTCCTTTAACGTTTCCGCGCATTTAAAGTCCGATGAGAGATCATTCACTCTTAAAATATCACCTAATCCTCAGCGTTTGTTATAGTGGCCCTTATTCTTTCCTTTCATGGTATATTAAGGCAAGGCGTCATAATCATCGTGTGGATCGTATGAGGTAAAGAAAATATTCGGATTTCAATTATAGGGTTATATTTTGAAGCTACATTAAATTCAATTATCGGCCTTACCAATTCCCCAAGTCGGAAACCTATCAGGAGAATTGGGCATTTAAGATTCTTAGAAAAGGACCACAATATAATTTCTTCTCAAATATGGTAAGCATCTAATAGCCCAACCTGTGTGTTGAGAAAGTAAAAGGCTTGTTTGAATAAACTATGAGGTGGTCTGAGGCTGTATATGGACCTTGTTTTTTTCAGGTACTCCAATACATCAGAATCTTTACGCATGGTTGGCAATCTTCGTCCTACCAATCAACTCAGCTCTCAATCCGGTTCTATACACATTGACTACAACGATCTTCAAGAAACAGGTGGGTGGTTACACATCCAAGATATTGAAAAACACTGACTTGAAGGAGGTAGATACAAATATAATTGTATACTCCTAATCACCCAAGGGATAATAATTTTGGAATTTTTGTGATATATTTTGAATGTCACTATGCCCATAGGATCATATACGCAGATTATAAAAAATGTCTTTCTCTTGTGTGTTTTCTTCTATTACTATTTACAGATGAGCAAGCTGATCAATTCCTGTTGGAGCAAACGGAAGAAGTGCGAGCATCAAACAGCTTCAGAATCAGCTCTCAGTCTTAGTCTGGGTGCAGTGCTTCCTATAAGAAAAGGCAGCAAGAGGATACTTAGTTATAGGGTAGGTTAAAATAGAGTAATATCATTGCAATAAATTCTTAATGTTTTTTTAACCTATCTACAAGGAAGTAGCTGTATGAGAATTTCACTACATATTTCTGACATTTTTAGTGAGAAATGGCAACTGAAACTTAAATAGGAATGGTCTGATTTTTCAATCTCCACTAAGTAAATTAAAACATCCACATCGTCACATTTACTACTAAAATATAGGCACCAACAGCCTGACTTATTCAATAAAATGATACATACATGTATTAGGGTATCATGATGTGAAATCACCTTGCAAGACCTCTCGTGTAAACGTATGCCATGCTCCGCTCTTCAATTGTCAGAAAGTAACCCCACCATAACTTGGTCCCATCTGAATTTAACTGTCCTTATTTTTGAAATTTTTATCGCTAATTTTTCTTTTTCTTAGGGTACGCAAAGCAGTAGCTTGATGGCCAGTAAGAACAGTTGGAAGAGATCTACGGCAGTCTGATAAGCTTACAATTATAAATAAATTACCTTACTATCTAAAGCTTTTCAAAAGAGGGGAAATCACGTTTCTGTACATAGTAGCTGTTAGGTGTATTTTTGTATTTGATACAATAGTTGGAGTGCTACAGTAGGGTCCTGATTCTAGCCGAATTCCGACCGTTGAAATTAGTTTCGATGTCGCTTTCTCGTCATACATATGGTCCACTATGACAATTTTGACACCTGATTCTAGCGGTTTTCTATATTCAAATTTTCACGTCAGTGCCAAAGTTTATTTATTTTTACTATTTTTATTATATATCTATTTTCAATTATTATGTGTGCTTAATTTTGTAATTTAATTATTATCGCTCTAACAGAACATTTTACATTTTTGCCTACTACATGTGTATTTTTAATTTTGTCTGTGTATTTGTTATCATATCTATTACTAGCTATTTGTTATAATGTGTGTTAATGTTTGTAATTTATTTATCACTTCCCTGGTGTGCTTATACATATAGATACATTTTATTTATCTTTGGCAGAGGATCAAATGTATGATAGTAAGGCGCCATCGGTTATCGAAATTAATTTCATGGTCTAAATTCAGTTAGAATCAGGACCCAGTTCTGTTTGAACAAAACATTCTTCAAAAAAGAAAGATAATATGTGTATGTATTTTATGTTTTGAATTCACTTTCTTATTGTGATAAGCTAAGGAAAGAGAAATTATGTACGAATTTTTTCTTGTCAAAATGCTTAGATAAAATTCTGTGCGAAAATGTTCGAATCAACAGCAAAGTCCTTCTATATATCTCTGAAAGGACCGGAGAATAGCAAACATCAAATCTTCTCAGAAGTTGGAATCGATATTCTATGAACATATATACAATATTCAAATGGTGTTTAATTTCCCGAATTTATGGCTGATAAAATTAGAATATGTATAATTTTTCTAACACTTATCGTATAAGTACAAAAAATGTTGTTTTGGGAATTTGTAGATCACTCAATCATTCTCTGTATTGTAAGCAATGAAATGTTTCGTTAATATCGGTATTTACTATGTAAAATTGTTAACTGTGATAAAATATTGTAAATAAGAAATAAACTATTTGCTTTACTTATTGGTTAATTGACTATATTCCATATTGTAATCCAACAATATTCCAGATACGTCATACTACTTGTTACTTTATTATAATAATAGAAAACGCCAAAGAACGGAAACTCCTGATCTTATGTATATGAAAATTCAAATACCTGCATCATATTTTGTTAAAAATACAGCTTTTGCTGTAGTACTTACCTAATATGTAGATATTATTTTGAGGAGAAGGGTTATATGAGCCAAACAACTATAAACATTTTTATTTCAATATAATATATCGTGTCATGAATTGATGAGTTACATATATATATATATATATATATATAACTTGAGACGTGGTCATTGTCGTCTAGACCAGTTAGGTGAAAAATTAAAGCTTCCGCCTTTTGTTGGGTACTTCGACAAGATTTAAGCAAAGAGGACTCTTTATACTTTTTTTAATTCTCTCTAGCTTTCAATGGACTTTGCCATCATCATCAGGAGCTGCAATTACAATGATAACAGTAGCAACAAAGGTGTAAAATGAATTTAAATTGACTCAACTTACAGTAGTATGTGAGGATGTTGCTAATTGTTGTTTACGTATAGGATGAGGGAAGCGTCCAGTAACATGGTGAGAGCTGGATAGATTGTACAATAGTCAAACTTATATAAAATATGACAAGAACAAGTTAAAAACAGATTAAAAATTATTTAAAAAATTAGAGCATTACATCGTGAAGCCACCTGATGATTGCACTAATTAGTGGTCATGGAATGATGAATTGATGAGTGACATGAAACCCTTTGACAGAAGGCCGAAGGATGTCAATGTCAGTATTAAAAGATGGAACGAATTGTGGGCGTGTGCGAAAACGTTGCCAAATCACTTCAGATGATGAGATTTTCGGAATTTTATGTTAACAAATTCTAACATAAAATTCCGAAAATCTCATCATCTGAAGTAATTTGGCAACGTTTTGGCACACGCCCACAATTAGTTCCATCTTTTAATACTGACATTGACATCCTTCGGCCTTCTGTCAAAGGGTTTCATGTCACTCATCATTCCATGACCACTAATTTGTGCAATCATCAGGTGGCTTCACGATGTAATGCTCTAATTTTTTAAATAATTTTTAATCTATTTTTAAATTGTTCTAGTCATAGTTTATATAAGTTTGACTATTGTACAATCTATCCAGCTCTCACCAAGTTACTGGACGCTTCCCTCATCCTATACGTAAACAACAATTAGCAACATCCTCACATACTACTGTAAGTTGAGTCAATTTAAATTCATTTTACACCTTTGTTGCTACTGTTATCATTGTAATTGCAGCTCCTGATGATGATGGCAAAGTCCATTGAAAGCTAGAGAGAATTAAAAAAGTATAAAGAGTCCTCTTTGCGTAAATCTTGTCGAAGTACCCAACAAAAGGCGGAAGCTTTAATTTTTCACCTATATATATATATATATATATATATATATATATATATATATATGCATAGTTGTAATTTTCACATTTCGAAAATGGTTTATGAATATTAGATTTAGAATTTAGATTTAGAAAATTTTATACTTGATATGAAAATATGTTCAGTATAATGACACCCTTGAATTTGACGTTCAAATTGGCAAAAATTGTCATTTCAGATAAACTTTTGAGTTAACATCGGTGAGGGATGGAATGAGATAATTATTTGCTTGCCGGCTGACTTGATCCGTTTTGGATCGCAATTATTCTAAATTACAAACTCATCGTATATATGAAAATATATACAATTTAAGAAAGACCTTAAAAACACGTAATAACAATGCCTTCAAGTACACGAACAGAATTGGGCATGCAGTACGTCAATTGACGTTATTATGACGTGCTTGTGCTACCTGTGTTTGGCAAATGACCTTTTATCACTAACTCACGACTTAAAATATCCTGGACAACATATATTCACTACGATAGCTCCGACCATGAGCAACGCATAAGTTATAAGTGCCGCCCACCACACGTACCGCTCCACCGTCGTTACTCTGAAATTCCTCAGCACGTTGATTCCAACTAGGAGACCTGCCGCGGCACCGCCTGCATGCGCGGCCACACCCACGTTGCTCATGATGTGTTGAAAATATCTTTCGTATACGGTTACACCCAAATCAGCGCATATAATGATCAGGAAGGCGACGAGCTGGATCGGAGCATATGGCGTTACGGACCAGTTCTAGAAAGAGATAGAGATGGTGTAGTGTACTATAGTAGAGATATGCACAGAGTACTATTTTTTCAAATAGGCTACTACTATCGCATACTTGGCCAAATTCCGGGTAATAGACGGAATGATTTGTGCTGGGTTATTTCAGCTACTGGAAGTTGGATTACATTTGCGTTTTTTCTCTTTATTCCTAAAATTCATTTACCTTGCCAAAAAATTAACGTACTACAAAAAACCAGTTGTGCAGCTTTACCAATTTTTTGTAAAATTTGCGTCCGCGCAGGCAGAAGTCAAAATGCCAGGATATCGCGGCTGCTATGAGGATCCAAAAACAACATTTGTTAATCCAATTTTTGAGCTCCCTAAGGTTAGTAGAACTGAGAAAATCCTCCTCGGGACAAAGGAGCGGTCGAATCGGCCAGTTCTGGATGTACAAAGTTCGACACGGTTAGCATGGGAGGCCGAAGTCAGACAGGTCTCTCTGCCAGGCATATCCCATGCAGCGTCATGGAGGAAAGCTCTGAGGAGCAAAGCTTGCGTTGGTGTAGCGCTAGCAGAGAGCTATAGCACCCTCTGCCCGTCAGTGCGAAAGGGTCTCGAGACAGCCCTCCTTTGGACAGCATCGACCATAAATAATGTAGTCGGAGTGGTAGCACCCCAAACGTGTGAGCAATACTCGAGGCTAGGCCTTATCTAGGCCTTGTATAGAGTGAGCAGAGCATGCGAAGAAAAGTACATCTTAGCTCTAAATAAGTCCCAGCTGTTTCCCAGCAGCTACTGCTATTGGCGATATGTGTTCGTACCAGATCAAGGCCTAGGTGATCTGGACTCCGACCAGTCGAAATGAACGGCTCTTTGACAGAACTCGGCCATCCATCGAAACCGGATGAGGACTAGGACGCTTTTTTTGGTCAAGGTACAGTACTGTGTTTTGGAAGTATTAAGCTGGACGATGTTGTTGCGCCCCCCTAGCAGCGATCAGAGTCAGGTTTCTGGTCAGACAGGAAGTCGCTGCTAGTCTTCTTCTTTCCAGCTCACCAGCAGAGATCGGCTTGTCGCTCTGAATTCCTGCTGTGATCAGCAAAGCTGTGTATTGGGTTGATCGTACAGGAAATGAAGTCGTTGATATCTAAGAGGAACAGTGTCGGAACCAAGACCGATCAATTACGATAGATATTTTGTGGCCAGAGCGAAATTCAGCCACCCATCTACAAACCTTCTCTGGGAGGCCATGTGATGGAAGTTTGCATAAGAGGGTAGCGTGCCACTGCTGATCGAACAGTTTAGTGATATCAAGAGCAACGACATGAGCCTCACCATAAGAATGGATGAGTTTACTCCACAATTGCGTGACGAAAGCTAGGAGGTCCGTTTTGGATCGCTGGTGCCGGAAACCATACTGCCTGTCGCTAATCAACCCGTGACGTCCGAGATAGTCCAGAAAATCGCGATATATGCACCTCTCCATCACCTTGCGGTATTTTCAGACTTTTTTTTTAGGTATTTATAACTGCTAGGATGTATGTTTTTCATTGTGGAATTCAGCTACTATGGTTATAATTAATACGATGTTATGGCATTATATTGTTGGAACATTTGGTTTTGATTCTCCACAGAAAGCATATTTGTGAAACATTCAATATATATGCTTGAGATCTTGAACATACGTTTGTGTTGGAAAAATTACCTAATACAATAGCTGCAATGTCATTCCCATTTCAAACAATGAGTTGAAATCCTAAGGTTTGTGGGAGAAGGTTATAAATTGCTAGATGACGTGGTAGAACGAATTCAGATTTAGGAAATACTGACCCTAAATTATCCTTACGTTTGAGTACCGGTTTTTTTTCAAAACGCAGGAAACCCGTTATTCACTTACTTTTGCTGCATTTTGATTATTTTGTTTTGTGGTTTTTTGGTGTGCTTTGCGTGTTTATAAAAGAATGAAGGAGCAAATGAAAATACATAGAGCAATACTACAATATGGTGTCATATTGGATTTTCAGTTTTTTAACTTAACCAGCTATGAACCTGAAACCTAGTACTCGGTGTGTCCCTATTGTAGTATTGAATTGCAAAATATTATACCTACATATGAAAGGGAGCTCTGCTATCAATAGGCATCACATTTTATACTGACAGGATTTAATATTTCGGAGTTTCTTTATTCATATTTGAATTCAGCTTTCAATGCTTAATGTCCTTACCATTATTACGTCAGCAATGTGGGCTGTCATAATCGAGTAAACACCGCCACTGGCCCCACCCAGCATAACATTTGGGTCAGTTACAGAATGTGCCAGGGAACCAGCTAGTACTCCAGCAAGGTAGATGACAGATACTCGATTCCATCTGTGGACCATCTCCAATGGTAAACCCAGGACAAGTTGAACTATCAGATTCGTGAAGATATGTTCATACCTAAAATGATCAGACCAATATACATTCTCTCAGCAATAAGTCAAAGGCATACATGTTACGAGAGCATTTCCTGTCTAACAAATTTTGTGACATATTCTTATTGGTGGCCTTCCCAGAGTCGGTTAGTTTTTTATTAAAAAAAGAACATAATAGTTACTTTTCTATCTAGGGTGCAAGGAAGGTGGTTATGGCCCATGGGATGGTATTTGAAGCGTCGCTCCAAGGCTCTTACACACCAAAATAAAGGATTTTTCCCCCGAAACACATAAAATAATCATCTACGACCGGTTAAAATAAAAAATTACAACTTCAAAGAAGAAATGAAAAATAACAAACTTGACCATACTATATCACCGGAGATATGCCTTTGTCTGTCAACCAATTAATGAGATTTCCCGTAGTCGACGTATCAAGTTCAATATATGTTAAGTTATATAAAATCGGGCGATGAAGTTATTTACCGCCCCAAAAGTACACTTTTCAGCCCGTTCATAGCTAAATGCTATTAAGCTAGAGATATATACAAGATTTTATGTCTGACTAGTATCTAAAATTTAGAGTAGCTTTCACATCAAATACGATCAAATAAAAATAAAAATAGATTGAATTTAGTTCAACTTATGCATAGCGGGCGCTAAGGTTACCTTAGCGCCCCATGGGAATCGAGGAGCTCGTGGATCGGAAAGTAGAACTTAATGCTCAGAAAATCTATTCATACCTATAGTAAATACACCTTTCCGCCCAGTCGTAGATAAGAAAATTAATGTGAGTTTCTCTGGTATGGAAAGAAATTGAACGTATTGAATAAACATTTCACTAATAATAAATAATGATTTAAGAAAATTAACGTACCTACCCTATGTGTACCAACATGTAAGTCAAGAATCTCCAAACCTCTTGTCTTTTCCAAGGATCATATATAAAGACTGTGGCGGTTAACCCAAGACTGCTTTTGTTTTTGGTTCTTTCATCAATAGCGAAGCAGATGATTTCTACTATTGATATTACCACTAGAAATAAGGGCGGTGGGAAACATGAGTATTCCACCTCTTTTGGAATACGTGCTGAACGACCAAGGCGTATAACGCTGTCTGTCACACTCACTTCTGATGGTCTTTGTGTAATTGATCTCCTTGCACGTATTATAACCTCTCTCCTTTCTTGAAATTGCTTTTTTGGATGTGGTATTAGAAAATGTACATAGCTAAAACAACATTGTATAATCAAATTGAAACATTAAAACGCCGTGTTTCAATAATCACAGTAGCCTTCTAAACACTCACTGGTGTGAAAGGAAAATATTGCACATTGCACTGCCAAAGACATACATAAATATGTTGTCGCACAGCACTGCTGGCAAAGAGCATTGATTGATGAATTCGCAAAGATGCCCAACCATAAGCAATATTTGGACGTCCACATACTGTTTGTATCGTTACAGTCATGTTACCAGCTTGCATCCCAGTACTTCCCTTAAAACAGTCTTTTTCGAAGTGGGCGATAACGCGCCCTAGTGGACGCTGAGGACCTATAGGAGGGGGGTGGTAGAGAGAATAAATAAAATTGAGGAGCCATTAACTGATTTGGAGTCCGACGCAATGGATAATTCTTATCCCCCGCTCTTCAATTATTACAAAGAGATTCGCTCCCAGAAACACTAATACAGCAGAAGATTCCCCCCTCCTCTTTCGATTTGCAAATTTGCAATCGCAGATAGCCCCCCCTCCAGAGACGGACATATTCCATTATCCTTAACATGGATAGTAGATGAAATAAGTTTGAAAACCCCTGCCTTGAAAGCAATAACAGACTATTTTTTCCTTTTAAAGACAAGTGTTTATTCTTAAACGTGACATAAACCTTCCTAAAAAAATACTGCTTAACCTTTCTCAAATATTTCTAAGATTTCGCATTCTCAGAACTTCTCAATGATGGAAAATAAAATCCCATAAGCTGCGGCAACAGTCCACGGGTTGGCAGCGCTGACACCTAAAGACGGTGTATAGTAGTAGTTTAATCACTTCCACTAGCTAATGTTTTAGTAGCTGACAATGACAGTGAGTTGCAGGTCGCCTGTAGAAAGCTATCTGTAAGATAAACACCCAGAGCCACTAATTTTTCTAATTTCAATATTACTATCCCTCGCTATTCGCTATCACGTGCATTATTTCTTTTCGCCTAAGAAGGTTTCTAGGAATAGTCTTATATTTTATATCAGTCAATATTGAGGCTTAGGGTCCATGTTTGCAAATATACCAAAAGCGTAATTCGAAATGGCGTCAAGTAGATTGACTCTATACTGCCCACGCCTTCTAGTGCAATTTTTCATGCATTTCAGTGACATTAAAAAGACATAGACTTTGTCAGAACCATTATTACTTGATCTTTTCGTGACAAAAAATTTCTTTAGATTGCTGCAATTAGCCTGTGCGTACATGGTAGCCTCATTTGTTTGGCCCTCGATTTTCTAAAAAATTTTGCAAAATGATTTGGACCGTTTATTTTTTCTTTGTTTTAGGCATTTTTCTCTGCCGCCACTGAACTGATTTGCAAACACTGGATTATCATCATATCTTGCTTTTAAAATTTTTCGCGATTAGAATACTTCCTCTCCTAACAGCCGTGGGAAGTAAAACTGTATCACACATCCGATACCTACCTGTTAATATACTTATTCAAGGTTTTTGCTAAGCCCTTTCGTTCAAAAAATTCTACAAGTCCATCGTAGTCCAAACTTATGTTCTCTTCATTATCACTTATTCTATATACTTTTTCCACAACTTCGTTTGGTAAATTGTAGCCATTGCCTTGTACAAAGATCTTTAGTTCTCTCAAAGAAATACGACCATCATGACCGTCGTCATTGTAAACGTTAGCTGCACGAGTCTGTAGAAGAGTTCAACAATATTGAGGTCTGAACTAGTCACAGATTTTGGCTTAAAACAAATGAAAGCATTATTTCAGAACTTGATATATTCAATCAAATTTCTGAAATGTCCTGTGATATACTACTGCCAATTACACCACAAAAATCTGACACCGCCACACCAAAATACAGACGAGCAACACAGAGCTGTGTTGGCATTTACATCTAGGTATGGAATGATGTGCAGGTTGAAAATGTTCAAAACTGGATATTATTACCTGGACAACTATAGAGGGAATGTCTACAATAATCTATTTAAGGTGTAATAAGTTTTCCACTATAATGCAAGTCAACCATTTTTTCTCTATCAATTGTCCAGTTTTCAAATCACCCTACAAACTACCTGTAGAGCGATGGTCTTTTGTTTCTTCCACCTCGTTTAGCGTTACCAAAATTAAGTATAATATTTAAGAAACAATAGAGCAACAGTACGTATATCTAACAAAAGGTTGTCGCGAGATAAGGTAATTTAGTTACTGGCAATTAAATATTATTTTCACCACCTACCTGGTCAAATATTTGCCTATAAATCTCTTTTCTTTCACTCAAATCACGTAGAGGAATTGATTCTGTCATGTTTATGTTTCTCTAAGCTTACTCTGCATCACAGCGAACGCGAAATTATGCACAGTGAGACTGAACGGAGCGATAAAAAATGACTGTGCTGATAAGTTATCTCTACAGGTGTGTCGTAATCATACATGATTACGCAGATACTTTTGAATCCGCGCCCATGATTAATCAGTTACTCATAGAGACTTCTGAAAGGTACAAACATCACTCTAAGGTGCAGTAGTACCGAGATTTGGGTTGCTACATGCACACAGTTGTACATTGTATTTATAAAAAATATAGCGGCTAGAAAAATTTAATTGTCACATATTTTCAACCACATTGATCCTATTATATGAACCTAATAAATGATTATACGTAAGTACTTTTCAGTGTGTAAGGCCTGATGGAATCTTAAAAACTGTAGGCACTTGTGGGACACAAAAAATGTAACAAATGAGAAAGGTCTTACTATCTCAAAGATGCTTGTGCCATGATGTCGCTTTCGTCAAGAAACTACTAGATTGTCTGAAAACAGCAACTCTAAATGTTGGCATGGACGATTTGTTCAGGTGGTAAGAGCATCCTAACTGCTCTTTTTTGGAGCGTTTTGAAAAGTTGAAATTTAAAGTGATATACATAACTACTTTATTTCAAAGAAAAAGTGGCAGTTGAAAATATGTAAATGGTGACAGGGCAATATCTGAGAACATCCTTCAATAAAATGGGAGGTCATTTGATACACATTTTGAAGCTCCATATCAACACTTTATAATCTAGAGTATTAATTTATTAATCCTCAAAATGGAGGACTGACGGGCTGTGAAATTTGAGCGTTTTTGTACATTGAATTCCTCATACCATGATCAATCTCTTCTTTTGAGTCTATCGGAGTATATAAAATTCCGTTTAAAAAAATGAGAGTGTTGACATATCCATGGAATGTTTCATATTTTATCACAGAACCGATTGGCGTTTTCAAGATCAGTGGATTGATATAACATACTATAGCGTTTTGATGACTGGTTTCACAGTTACGAGTATAAGCGATTTAAAGTACAGTCTGTCAGTACGCTGTATTGAAAGATAAAGACTTTATATTCTAGATGTCTAAAGTACTCATTAGTAGCTTCAATATTGGGTATTGAATAACATCTCATTCGATTTAAGAACAAGTTTCAACTGAAGCTTTCACGGTGTGATATTTCATTCATCTGGTAGCTTTCGATCTTCTGCGGCATGCATCTTTCGATCGAAAATGGTTTTTCTTGCAATACTACTATTTCGTATTCCTGATCCCAGATCTTTCATCGTTCCAACATTGTTCGAAAGTCAGAATCTCAGAGCGATTTCTATAATTGAGCTAAGGAAAAGGAAACTGGCAGTAACTTCCTCTTTGACGGACGATATGGTTATCACTGTCAGAAGTGTAGTTTGACGATTCTTAGACAAGGTAACAAATAAGAAATACTCAAATTCACAAGAGCTTGTGATGGGGTTTCGAGCTTTAGTATGTAGGAAATACCTACTTTTCTCTTACATATTCCTGAATCTGCATAAGGTTCAGTAAAGACCGGCGTGGAGTACTATTCACATGTCTAGCTATATGATAGTCATATCGCCATAATTTGCACTAGCCTACCGATAGAGAAATATTATAGCGACCTTTTATTTTATAGGATTTACATAGAATCTATGAATAACCGCTATTGCCATTTCAGAAACAGATATTATAAAAGTTGAAGACACATCGCATTGAAATCACGAGTGTCAAATTTGCCTCTGACTATCGCCATCGCTTTTATTTTGCAGATACATAATAAGGGTGTCCGCTTATCGGAGACATATCCTCAATGAGCAGACTCGATCTACTGCCACATCGGCAGTCAGTATGTGATCTGGCTCTTTTTCTATCAATATGCGTATAGACATCAAGCAGCATGGTTCTGGGTCCGTCAGATAAACCTGCCAAACTCTGGTTCTTATTCTAATTTGGTAGAGTTATACGTCAAGAATTGTGCCACTCATTCATACAGAATCGAGAATGCGATAATTTACGTGAAGTGACTTTCTTCAGTCCTTAGCAGATCAAAAGTCAGACCAAAAATGTGTCTTTAACGTCTTTATGGTAATGGCGATACTCGAATACTGTATCTGCCTTTGTGATTGCTTCAAAATGAACACCAAGTACTCAGTACCGCTAAACGGAAACTACAAAGCTTTGGCGTAGTAGTAATCTTGTGCGGTAATTTCCAAGTTATAAACGGGCAAATGATTAGCAGACAGACAGACGGAAATGAGTGATGTAGTTTTTCGTGATGTAGATGTCATATAAATAATAAAATAAAGAACATAACATATCATTTTCTAAGTTTTTCGCGCCACTGGCCTTTGAAGTAAAACGGCTTTAAGATGGAGGAGTAGCAACCTGAACGCCAGGAAATCAGTATATTCAGCATCTGAGGTTTGTTTAATTTATTACCAGTGTAAGATAGATCAGAGACAACCGGAGGATCAGTTTTAAAATTCCATTTTCATAACTAGGTCGCGATTATGAACACCTATTAACGGCTTATATACTATAGTATATGAACTAGGAACTAGGACCACCATATGATCTGAATACGTCCTTTTTTAGTCCGACATTTCGCAGGGCCGCTTGGGCTGGCAGCACGAAACAATACACAAAATTCGTGCAAAATCCGCTTCATTTTTTAATATTGTCGAATGAAATTCTTACAGTGTGCTGAAAACAAAACCTTACAGGATACTATTGAGCCACTTGTTCATTTTTTCACTAGGCTTTTTTTAAGAAAAATCGCGCAGTTCAACAAAAAAGAGCATTTCAACCCACCATAAAACTTGCGCAAAAACAAAACTTCAAAAAGTGCTTCGATATCACCCTGGGCAATTGTCTTCTAAAGATACTTTATGAATTTGGTTCAAAAATATTGTGAAAATGGAGTGTCCGGTGAACCCTCATAAATGGCTTGAAACTCACTGCGTCTGAGCCGACGCAAAGGCCGCAAATAAATTTGGGGGATAATTTGGAATTGAGGCGAAGCCACAGAATGTCCTTCCGGTCTGATTCCAAAGCAATGTCTCTGGAGCAGGAAATACTGCTGCGGACAAAAGCCACAACTCCCCTGTTCTTTCTCAGATTGGAGTGTACCTAGTAATTTAGGAAGCTAAGATGATTAATTGATGCGGACTGTGAGATTGTTTGTCTCCGCCAAGAAAAGCATGGCAGGATGATTGGGTTGCAGGTAGTGATGAACAGCATCAATGTTGCTTTTAATCCTGTGAAACAAATTTTATCATCGATGTCGTTCCCTCAAGTCCACCCTCTACCCGACATTCCGAGAGTGGAGTGAGCTTACGTCCGGAATTCTTAGTACTTCAGGGATTCATCATCATTAATTTCTTTGTTGGGGAACATAACCGACTGCGCAGCTTAGGGGTCTAGACATGCTAACATTAAAAAAGCTAGCGGGTGGTACCGCCTCGGTCGACTTGTCCTTCACTGCCACTTTGTTTTTGCCTGTTAATGACGTTAGTAAGCCTAAAGTGGCCCATTGGCGGACCATCGCTACTTTGATGAAGTGGTATACTGAATACAACAACTTCCGAAACAAGCATTTGCCACGGCCCCGCTCAGTAGGGGTGATATTTTTAAGACAAAAGTATTAGTTTCAGGATTAATAAAGTATATGATTCGAACTTGAGACATTTTTGTCCGACTTGATGTAAATTGAATTGAAACTTCGTAAAACTTTGGAAATGTGTTGCGGTGTTTTTAGCTGGAGTTTGAAATTTTTATAAAGTAGTAGAGAAATTATGTAACCGCAACAACCTGTTACTTGAAGAGTGCCGTATTTCAAAAAGTAGACATTTCAGGACATACAGAAATATTGTGACATTTTTTATTGTTCTTTTTGCTTTAGAGACATTATCAGTGTCCTGAATCACTCTGTACACTGGGAAGTACCCTGATCCATTAATGAACATGCTTAATCACCTTCACTGAACGCACCTACTCTCAGACCAGATTCTAGGAGCCAGCGTGAATCCTGCTCTGGTCGAACGTCGAACTGACTATAAATAAAATCCCCCACCAAGCCTCGGAAATCCGTACACATTCTTTCAGCGCTTAGGAACCAATATCAAACCGCTATAAAATACATACATTAGTCGCGTGGTTTCAGTTTAGTTTATCTGTAAGCATAAGCGAATACCTGCATAACCACGTTCAATAATTCAAGTAGTTGCTAACAGTAATTTTTGAGTGAAAATGGCAACAGGAAGGAACGAGCCTGTGACACCTGAGTCCCCAGGAACTGTGGAAGTGAAAAATGCATATTTCAACAGTATCTATGAAAAGGTAGGTTAGTTATTAGGATTCACGTGTGTTTTATTAGTGCTAGCAGGATTTATAGCATCGACCTTGAGCACAGCAGTGTTCCGCAACCTGACTATTCATTTACATAACTATGAAACATTGTAAGACTAACGAATCCAAGTTCAGATGTTTTCATTATACATTGTTACAAAAAGTGTCATATTCACTTGAATATAACAATATTCATAACAATGTAATATTTAATACAATAGTTTGCAACAATGTTGCGACAAAAAGCTTCACACCTATTTCATTACATATTTTGTTCATATGCGTGTTTTATTTTCATAAACTTCAAATGCACAGTTCAGTCGAAAGGAACCCGTGGAAATTAAAGCCCTTAAATCAGCAATAGATAACTTAAGGAGATTGATGGTTAAAGCTTCTGGTGCCCTACCGTTCTCTAAAACTGAAGATAATTTAGAAAAGTAGCTGAAGATCGACATGAAAAGATGTTTTAGGCTCTGAAAATAATTCAAATAGAAACTATATGCTTTCAAATATTTTTTAACATACCATTTTTTAATGTGGGCTCGGTCGATAACTCCGTTATTACGGATTATATCTAAAAAAGTTAATCACAAAAATTAGTAGTAGTACTAGTATTAGTAGTGCGCTTGGAAAATATTCTTATCTCTACAGGATGATTCGTAACTACGTGGTGACTCAAACATACATTTATTCAAACGAAAAGACCTACATTTTATTACAAATTTGGATAGGCCCTTTCAGACGAAGCAATTTGAAATAAGATACTATAGGGTTTCGTTTTTCAAATTGTTGAGATATTCGACAATCTATAGAAAAAAACACTCAAATTCGACAAATATCACCTCCTCAACTGCTATAGTAGAGTATTGAATTTTCCGTCAGAAAAATATGATCCAATGTATACATACTTTTTCAGTTTTCTGGACACTTTATACAAAGTATTTATGTAGGTACATGAGTCGACTAAATGTCTTAGGTAATTGGGGGGACTATCAAATAATTTCTATTGAAAACTTTAGCGCTCCAGTTACTGTGGTAGAAGTTCTTTTCGTTTCTATGCTAAATTCTTTGAAATTGCGCATCACTGTCGTTATAACTGTTTTGTTTGTTAAGATAATAACACCAAATAAACGTAGTTGGGCTGTGTAATGCATGTTTAATAAAAATACAAACGACCTCAAAAAAATGACTTGTGACCTTCCAAAGTCGTAAAATTGTGCGGAGTGAATAATAAATTTGAAATTCAAAATTCAATTAAAAACAATTATACCTGTCTTGGAACTTATCCTTATTTATAAAAGTTCTGTGATTTGTTACGTATCCAACGATATCATAAATAGAAATAAGAGAAAACAGATAGCTGAGTCAACGATTTTTATAAGTTTTACTGGTTTGTATTTAATTTGAATCAGTTTCGAAATGACTTCCTCGGCTTGATAGTAATAATGATAGTAATAATTGAATACCAATAAACAGGTAGGCTTAGGAATACCGCTCTGCAACTTTATTTGACATCCGATACCCGGGTAAGTATGTACATACGTACTATACTATAACTATCTAAAACCGTAATGACTCATCGATGTTCACGTGAACATCACTTAACTACCAGTAGTCGGCTGTTCATAGGCGGGGTATGAATGTTTAACATGGGTGAACTAGATTTGTCACATGCTTAATAAAGAGTGGTTTGAAACATATTGTAAGTCAAAAATTTGGGAATTACCTTTATTCATCGTCGCTTCCACTTACATCTGACAGTAATAAACTGTGGCTATCGCTTTCCTCGTTGAAATTGACTATAACTGCCTCTATGATGGTGTCGATATGGTGGTCAAGCTGCCACATTTTTGTTTCTTCCTTCACAACATGACGGATAGCATTCTGCCAAGCTTCGGGCGTTACTAGCTGTATGGAAGTCTCAAGTAAAACCTTAATGTCTGGTAATTTGAAGGTTGTGTTATGGCGCGCAATATAACCCTTCACTTGAGCCCAGATGAGCTATATTGGGTTCAGTTCACAGTGGTAGGGCGGTAACCGCAGCACAGTGACACCACATTGACGGGCCATCTCATCAGTCACGTAACTAATGTTCGCAGGTTTGTGCTGTTTAATTTTTTCATACAATTCCGCTTTCACACATGAATCGTCAAACGGGATTCCTTTTTCGCGCAACCATTGCTGCATGTCACTTTTTCGAGATCCCATAGTGGGTACACGTTCGGCTCGACTCGACGATCACAGAGTTGGGCTCAACTCGCTGAAGCACCCCTTGAAACCAGCTCTCGAAGCAGCTGGCATTCATTTCGTCATGGTAATCACCTCCTTTCTTAGAGACGAAAATCAAGTCACACTCTTCTAAAAAGCCACTATCGCTACCAATATGAGTTACGATCAATCTTTGACCTTTCCCTGACGGTCCACGAAGACCTGTTGACAAACCTTCAATGCTTGCTTGTCGGTTACTCACTACGCTTTTGTCTATCCAGGTTTTTTTAACTGTGTGACCTGCATTTACCCATGTCTCGTCCAAATAATAGATTTTTCAGCTTTGTCGCCTATATTCAATCATTTCGCGTAGGTATTTTCGACGCCAGGCGACTATTTCAGGTCTCTCTATCAATACTGACTTCCGATTACGCGTTTCGTAACGAAAATTAATTTCGTGCAGGGATTTCCTCATTACCTCGACGCTCATTTGGGGTATAATTTCATTTTCCTTGATCGCTGCATGTACAGCCTTGAGGGTTGGTATCTCATTCCTAAAGAAGAATGAATGTACGGTTCGGCTTAACGCCACTTTGCTATCGTCATCCAATTTAACGGCCTTTCGTCCCTTCAGATTAAACTTTGGATCAGTAGTAGCTCCAGTTTTCTTCTTTTCATGCACCACCCTGCGAATGGTCCACTCTGGAACGCCTGTCATACTTTCACAACGCGCGAGTGCATCTCCCTGCGACATAGTTCTGTTCAGATAATTGAACACGTTGACCACGATTTCTTTCGCGTCCCTCTTCAGTGCTTTACGAAGCCGTCTACTTGTTCCCTGGCTTTCAGTACTTCCACTCGTGCCATTTGTACTCTCCATGGTTAAGTATAACCAAAACAGTAACCACAGAAACCACAATAATAACAATCACACAACAATTCTTATAAAAACACACAATATGCGATCGCTCAACGAAACACGTTCCAATGCGTTGCCAACGCCTATGAGTCTACGGGTCGAGGCGCGTCTTTGATTTCATTGGTTCTACCGGCGGAGAACAATCAGCCATTATTTCCATCTCTGTCTGTGCTGTTGACCACCGCAAAGCCACAGAAACGACATATGTCGTACGCTATACGGCTGTACTGGAAGGAAGCCGCGATCGAGCTCTGATCACGTGTTGATCACGCGTATGAGTCATTACAGTTTTAAATAGTTGTAGTATAGAGTACTAATGGTCAAGGTTTACAACACGTGATATTTTTATGGAGAAAGTATACAATTTTGCTGAGAAATGGTTTAAAACTAATTATTTCAAGTATTGTAATCTTCGACCATTAATACCTATCGTCGTAGACCTTAAAGCACAACACTCAAATTAATTAGAGGATAGCATATGTGTAGAAAAACGCTAACTTAAAGGTGATATCTTCGCTACTCCTAAAATCAAAATAAATAACGTCAAAGTTAAATTCGTTCATAATCATGCTGTAGTGATTGTAGAACACTCATGAGGATTAAAAAAAATCAGGTCAGAGGCAGGAGAAAGTGTTTGTCAAAGGTCGGAAACCCTCGTTTAAAGAAGATGTGTGTGGATTAATCAGAAAGGTCACAAAGACCACCGTACGTCTCCTAACAGGGCATTATCGTCTAAAAAAACTGCTGATTCTGTGGCTAAGACCTGGCATGGTTAAGTTTTCAGATACTGGGGATCAAATATCTAAAAGCAGTATGCGTCTACGTCATGTAAAATACACCATTGACTTCACGTAGACTAATCGCATTTTTTTTACATCTTGATATTTCAAATCAACTTGCATAAGAAGTATTCCTACCTGTTTCTTGCGCTTATTACTTTCATTATTCTCATCTAGTGAGGGCAGTCATTTCGAAAATATTTTATAACCGATTCAAATTAAATAAAAACGTGAAAGATTTGAAAAATCATTGACCTAACCAGCTGTTTTCTCTTATTTTGCCCGCATAACAAATTATGTCTATGACGTATTGTATGTCGTTGGAAAGGTGATGAATCAAAGAACTTTAAAAAATTACACAAAACACCAAGAATATTAAAAAATTTTATTCACTGTGTACAATTTTACGACTTTGGAAAGTCATAAAAGTCATTTTTTGAAGTCGTTTGTACCACTATTAATTTGCTCTGATTAAGCATGAATTACATAGTCCAACCGCCAATTTTATGTTGTTATCTCGACAAACAAAAACGGGGAGAAAAATCATATCTCATATATTGGAGCATTTCATCTTCCAATGAAAAATCATTAAATAGGTTCCCCTATTACCCAAAAAAAAAATGGACCGGTCTGTGAACCAAACGTACATATTTTTACATCCAAACATTACTGCTGTGGAAAGCATTGACCCAATTAACCTGACTGAAGTTTTACTTAATTCCTACAAACACGCATGCTCTCAATGTTGTTACGATCTTGAGCGCGCTTCGCAATTATGTCTTGATTCAGACGTTAATTATATCTTGAAACTGAAAAATAGTTCCTTCCATATTCGCTTGCTTCGCAGCGTATTTCTCACCTTTAACCTGTTATGGTTGTTGAGCAAATTCATGTCAAGTGACTGCCAGTATGAAAAGGTCCGCGTTCGTGCCCAGAAAATTACCTGAAAGCCCTTCTTTGCGAGACGAAAAATCGGCTAAATATACGGAACTGCGGAAGTGTGAAATCGACTAAAAACCTGAAACAACGGAAGTGTGACTGGGTGCTCCATACTGATGCTTCGGTTCTTTCGCTTGCTTTCATGATGCGAATGACAGTCTAAAGACTAACTAAACTGGAATAATGCTTTGGGATTATTCAGTCTGCAGGTGAGAATTCTTCTCTTTCAATATTGTCTAAAACCAATGCGAATTCTTCCCTGCTTGCAAGCTTTTCTTAAACGAGTTAGATACGGATATTTCTCATCTGAAGCAATTTTATCGTGGCTAAACGTTCTTCTTCTTTACGCATGGTGTGTAATACTCTTTCGTTCGAAACGAGATCCGTCCATACCATTTTCAACAGTCTTCGGAAATCAACATCTTAAAAGCTACTATTATGCCTTCACATCTCATTTACCCCCGTCAAAACAAACAGCAGAGCTCATCCTGATGACATTTGCAGAGCGACAGTCTTGTTCATGTAATGAGAAATGCTTTTAATGAATTCCGCAATGAGTAATGGAGCGACTTTCTGGGGAGGATGCTTGACTCAAGTATTCCTCTCTGGAAAGTTGCGAAGTCGCTCAGAAACGATAAACGAAAACAACTCCCTCACATCCACCGTCTTGGGGACAGAGGAAAATGTAGAGGTTTTCGCTGATGCTATAGAAAGACAATCTCGCAACTTTGACCTTGATAATGATCTCAACGAGAAGCAACACATTGTAAGATCCGTCATGAGATATTCTATGGCCTATGGCGTCAGTGGTAGTGGCGTCTCCATTAGTGATGAGCCTTCTTCGGAAGATTTTTCAACCGAATAGTTGCATAGTACATCAGGAGAATTTCTCGACATCCCTCATTGTACACCAGCAGAGCTTCAAGGTTAAAAGGCGCAGAAGCTGCTTTCGCGAAAGTTATTATCTCGTGGCAATAATCAATGCAGGGCTAAGGACCCTGATGTTATATTGATTCCAAAGAAGGTTGCTTCGATATTCTCCAGGATTACGGTCCCTTAGTCTATTGTCAGCCCCTTCTAAGCTCGAGAAAAAGGTGATTCTACGTCACCTTAAACATTTCTCGGCAGACCACAATGTGATTTCTGATATGCAATTTGGTTTGCGGGCTGAGCCTAGTACGGAGTTGCATTTAGGCTTGTTGAGCGAGTAACCAGCGGCTTCACCCGTAACAAGGTGTGGCACAAGGGCCTCCTCCCTCCTCTATTTATAGATCCAAATGTGCGTCCTCTTCTGGCTCCTAAAACTTTCGAAATCATTCCTTGAGGGCAGGATATTTCGGATCAAAATTAATAACGTTTTGTCGACAACGCGGTGTCCCTCAGGGTTCGGTTCTTGGAACGACCCTCTATTCATTTTTTAGTCATGGCGTCCCTTGTCCCGACAACTGAGAAGTCTATGCTTATGTTGATGACACTGCCCTTGTGGGCCAGTCGTGTTCTGGGAATCTAGTTCACGACAAACTGCAAAGTGTGGTGGACGAGGTATTGGAATGGGCGGATCGGTGGCTGATCAAAATTAATCATTTGAAAACTTACGCATGTGCGGCTTGGTGTTTTTTCACCAAAATGCATTGCGTACAATCATTAACACCCCCATGGTATGTCTCCAATGAGACCTTGATATCCCTTATTAAACAACAAGAGTAGGTACGTTACAGTGAAGCAGAGTCTCACAGCAACCCTTTGCTGCGCAAGTCAGTAAACCACACACTCGACCAATCTCTAAATTAATTTTAGGATCAATTAGAATGCCCGAATACTGGTTAATAACACCAAGGCACGCCTGTAATTCTGTCTAAGGTTTTATCATCCTAACACCTCTCGGAATCTATGACAAATTAAGAATATACTTTATAAATAATATCGTATATTTATTGTAGACAAATGAGTGAATTGAAACTTTCTTCAGTGGAAACTACCTTGAAGCTCTCGTTAGCAGTTTCGTACTTAATAAAAATGAATTTGTTCAAAAGTCTGAACAATACCAATGCATGTTTTGTTTTCTCAATAATATAGCTTTCAACAAAATGGTACAACAATAATTTATCAATTTTTTTAATGTTCAATAAATATATCCTATTTCCTCGTCATCGTAGTCAATGTATCACTTGTTTTCAATGTTGCTCTTGAAAGTGAAATATAGTGTATTTATAGTTATCATTAAAGATAATAATTAAACTCAAGTACAATGACCTAGTAGTTCCCATGCATTAATTTGAGAAAATTATATATAAAAACGTAAAATTGGGTCAAGATGTATCATTAAGGAAAGGTGGCACAAGCCACCTCTTCTAAACACTTACGACAGCTTTTATCCATAGTCCTCGTTTATCTCATCTATAGTTGTAGTGAAGATTCCCTGCTTCGTTTGAAAAAATAATTTGTCAAAAAATTGTCGCAGTGTCTTTAGCTTAAAAATGAAGTTTGGGGGATGATTTTAGCAAAATAAGTTCAGCTGCCTGGAGGACAAAGGTATATTGCGGTAACCCTAAAAGAATATTAGTGCTTAGCGCATTTAAAAAGTTGGCAGCATAATCCAAGCACACAGAGTATAATCTATTTGTCAACAATGCACTAGTTACGAGATCCATCCAGATAATTATAGATAATTGTATATTATTAGAATGCCAATTTCATCGTCTACTATAATAATACATAATAGGATTAAGTGACACCTCCAGCTAGCGTTGTATATCATTGAGACTGACTGACTTATTTATCTTTTGATATGAGATGCATCATTGCCTAAAAAAGGTATTGGCAAGGAGTGAATCATAAAAAATATGTCAACAACGGTTATTGTTAAGTGTAACATGAATATACCAATTTAGACTTTTTATCAGTCTAGCAGTACAAACAAGTGGTGAGACGGACATTCGCAGGCTGTTTTTTGACTGGCTCATAACCCTCTCATTACTCACTTTCAGTTTGACAAGAACCATAACGGAACTTTAGAAGAAGAAGAACTCAGGGAAATGCTGAAACATGATGGAAAAATACAAGACATGATTGTACAAAGCATATTTATTGATTCTGACAAAAATAACGATGGTCACATTAGTCACGATGAGTTCATTGCTATGGTACAGAATGAGAAGTTTAGGGACAAGTTCGACAAATATATCAACGTGTAAGCAGCTTTCTCCTACTAGTCTGATCATTAGGTACTAAAAAAGGCGATGAAAAGTATCGGAAAAGCTTTTTAAAAGTTGATATTTTCACATATTTCAATATGCCCTTTACGAATTTCCACCTACCTCCTATATTTTCGATTTGCGTCTACATATTCGAGAAATGTCGCTCAAAAACAATGCTATATGCCAATATACCCTGTATGACTCATATTAAAATGAAAGAATGCTAAATGACAGACAGCAGTTACCGTTAATAAATAATTGTAAAGAGGGAATGATGCAAGTATCTTTGTTCTCAAGAATTAAATAAATGTCTTACAACGTTAATTTTTTTGTAAGGTTTTTTTCAAATATATAAACTGTAAGGGTGGCACCAATCAAAAGAACTCAAAACTAAATTAGTATGTTGGTGATGAAAATATGGGAAATTTAATTCGAAACGAAGTCCGAATACGATGGTGGTGGAACTGTGTAGCCTCAGTATTAAATATACCATCTCTATAAATGTGAGCGCCCGTCTACTCTTGCCAGCATCACGCCTGAATCACAATACGGAGAGACTAATAGAAACCTGAGGCAGGTTAAAGGCATGGTTTCATCAGTGAAAATATATAAGTTTTCAGAAATGATGGATAGATCAAAATTTCCTAGAGAAAACTTATGTAGAACAAAGCTGTAAGGCATGAAAATATTCATCTAATGTGATCTTGAAAATTATTTGAAAGTCGAGCCAGTTTGCTTGAATGAAATTCCTATTTTTGATACCAGTAATTTAAAGAGCCGAAAGTTTTACGTTGAAGTATGTCTTTGCCCATCTCCTTGACCATAATCTTCCTGGATATTTGAGGGTATCCAGAAAGTAGGGAAAGGTTAAAATATCTCCAAAACAAGGTTTCATAAAGTTGTAAGTTTTGAAAAGGATCATTCAATAGTGACCTTGAACGTAACCCTGACCATGACCATCAAGCTCATTTGAAAGTTAAGACAGCTTTCTTATTTAACCCCTATTTTTGACTCCAAAATTAACTTTTAATTGGAAACATCTATTTTTATTTCCTGGAATGCAAACTGCGGACAATGTTAAATTCAAGTATATCCTTGCCCATCACCCTGACAATGACCTCCAAGATCATTTTAAGATCAGATAAATGTCGCTCCTTACTTTTTGTCGAGGATATAACAAATCGAAACATTGAAATTAATTTATTGTTGTACTATTATGTTGGATAAAAAAATGTTCATTGTCAAAGTATCTATTGCATTACTTTGATATTGCATTACTTTGATGTTACATTTCTTTCTCCTTCATACTGAACCAAAATCACCTATACTTTACACTACTTCCTCGCGAGCAGAGCCGCGGGTTTAGTCTAGTTTTAGATATTTTCAGCAAAACACTATTTGAGCTTTGAATTCTTTTGGTTGATGCTCGCCAACTTTATTTTTAATAGCGAGTACACCACCAGAACTGACAGCATCTACCGGTCTTAGAGATAATTTGACTGTTAAAGGGAGCTGAGATACTTCAACAGTTCCGACCAAGAGTTGCTATTCATTGCTGCAGTGACCAAATCTGATGGTGTCGTATTTCTATCAACTTCCTAGCTCCGATAGAGGTTTTGCTGAACTTTTGTTCATCTGGTCTATATGGACCGTGCTGGCGGATTAGATACTACGCGGTTTTATGAACGGATAAAAGATATACTTTTAGAAAACGTGCAATGTACTTTCAGCCATTTACAGGTGAGATAAATTAATTACAGGTACATCAAGCACGTACTTCCAAGACGTCGCAAAAGAGGTAAATATGCAGATGCCAACTATGAGGAACAGTACAAATGTTGGCCTTTACCCTTCGGTATGGTGCTGATTTCTATCCTGCAGATAACTTGTTTTGTGGCAGACCAATATACAGAAAAAGGCCAAGAAAGCATATCATCCCATCTCATTTACGACCCTACGAAGAGGTTGGAGATGTGGAGATATCTCACATATATGTTCGTTCATATTGGGTGAGTTACGGTAGCAATAATTATTGAGCATTTTTTCTCATCATGCTCTGCAAGGTTGGAATAAATAGTACCCAAGTAACTCTGCTGTCTTATAAAAGGGGTGGAAGATAAACGAAACACTCATGAATTGTTTTTGTTAAAGTGACGTTTTAAGAACGTATTTTGCAGGTGATGATTCGGTATTGGCAGAATACTGCTAGAGAGGCGACGTCGGCTTTTCGCGGTCGTCGCCGCGTTTGAACATCGTCAGGCCGCTGAGATCATTAGGCCTGGACACACGACAGGAATTTGTCTGTTTGGCGGTCCGAAAACTGTTCGTCGGCTCTCCGTTGAAATCTTAAGGCGTGTACTCACCAAAAAAATTTTTCGCAAACGATGGTATCAAATGTTTATAATGTACATGCTTATAAATGCCTACAAATATGTTGTTCTCACCGAACAAACATATTCGCTTCCCACGCGATTTGAACGTGTTAGTAGACGTTCCGTTCCGTTGGTGTGTCGGGCAAAAAAATAAATTATATCAAAAATGCCTTCTTTCAAAATAAAAAACAAATCTGCCATATGTGCTACATCTTTCGTTATACTGAACAGAAAAGTCGCAAAAAAAATAAAAAACGCAAATTTTGGGTGTCCAATTTCTTAAAAACAAGAGGTTCAGTGAATGTAGTTTGTGAGACTCTTATGTCAGCCTCATGTATTTGTTTAGGGTTTCAAAGCAGCTAATTTCTAAAATAGTTCCTGAAGTATGTACTGCCATTGTAAGAGCATTAGCAGAATATGCAAAATTATATTTACCATGTATTTTGTTTGTCCGTCCACACCAAAATTGCAAAAATCCACAAACAAGTACAAATCGTTTGATGTTACCGACTTTGGATGGAACGCTGGCAAACACACACCAACGTTCATAGACATTTGTCGCTACCATGTGATTCAAGTCCACACCAAACACGCCCTGCATTTGACTACGTTTACAAACGTTTATAAACATTTTGAGCGTTCGGTAAGTACGTACTTTTATGCCTGAAAGTTCTAATCTTATGGTACACATAGAACAAAGTTTCCGTCGTCCGGGTAGAGGGCTCATGGTGGAACGGCGGCCGTCGTATTTTGGACGACTTGCCATTTCCACTGAAGTGTATCATGCACACGACCGGAAGCCGGATGCTAATCCATGCGCTTCCAGTCTTCATTTGTGTTGCGAAACCATTAGACAGAATTGTTAATTATGGAGGTCTACAAGATGCCTTGCATTTGGAATCTGCGCTCAAAAGCTTACAAGGACCGAAATGTAAAGGATACTGCGTGGACCGGGATGTGTTCTGATGCGCTGTTGCCTAATTCTCAAACTCTGCCACTTGCATAATATCGAGAACCCATTGCCACGTGCCCGTCATCTTATATTTTTCCATTTATTCCGCACAACCTCCGTTCGCAATTTGTTCGGCGCTCGAATGTACTGAGACTTATTTGAAATTATTTTTAACACTTTGAAATGAAGATGGAAAATTGTTGAAATACATCCGGAAACACGAATTCTATGAAACAAAGGGCATGAAATGAAATAACATAATTGACAACATCAACAGTGGCAACTCTTGCAAGTGAGAATGAAGTGAATGTCAGGTAGCTCAAAGGTGACATTTTATAGGAAAACCTACATAATGTCAAAAAACCTGCATATAATGTCATAAAAAATGGATATAATGTCACTTAAGTTATGCAATACGGGTGCCGAACACCGTATGAGACATCTATCCAACATTAGTACAATTCTAGTATGATAGTGGCAAAAAACTAAAAAATAAACTATTAATTTTTTGCTAGCGTATATCAAATTTGGTGAGGATTATTATTTTGGCACACGTAGTTTTAATCATTGTTGCTCAGGAACGGCAAATGATGAATTCTACTCGTAGACCTTGTCTCTTATTTTGTTAAACGTTGTAATCTTACGCCCACGAACAAATATATTATCGTCGTTTCTATGTTAATCAATACCATACTTGACTGTCAATAATATCATTGAAATCCACTATTGTTCTAGAGTGGAGCATCTCACAGTCAACCTATGCGTGCAGCTTCTTCTAGGGATCCCATTGGAGATGGTTCACAAGTGGTGGAGGGTAGTACTTGTCTATTTAGCTGGGGTACTTGCAGGATCGCTTTGTAGCTCCGTAACTGATCCAGATGTGAACCTTGCCGGCGGTAGTGGAGGAGTTTATGCTATTCTCACGGCACACATCGCCACTATACTTATGGTGAGTGCTTTCTATTTATTGTGGTTACTTAGAGTGCTTTTCACTATCTACTTATTCGTCAAAGCCCAGATGGTGAAAACGCGTTAGCCTGCATCTGAATAAAGAATTTTTTTCAACTAGACAAAGTTGCATTTTAATCGCTGCATTTGTATATTTAAATATATTTCACACCCATTTGGACGGAGCAGTTTTTCGACCAAAAGAATACAGGTTTGATTTTTATTCCGCGTATCGATAGGCGTAACCATGCATTGTATGAACAACAGTCAACGACAGACGATAAAAATGTTTTCCTCGCGTCTCCTAATAGAAGGTTAATCTCCCTTACAACAGTAGGGTGACACATTCTAAGGGTATCGTGCAGAAAAACTTAATATGTCACTTCTCGTTCCTGGAAACTACAGCACTAGGGATGGGCATAGCTTCGATATATGTGGTTTATAAGTTTAGGAAAAATCATTGATTTACCTATTTCATTTATTTATTTATTCAATCAACAGGTAAAACCCGTGTTACAAATACAAAACAGTCTTGATTTAAAGAATTGCATTGTAACGATCTTAACACTTCTTACAAACTCGTTAACAGATGTTCTAGATACTACTAAACAATATATATACAGGGTTATCCAAATTAAGTGTCCACCATTAGTAACTTTGTTATTAGTGAAAATACAAAGTTGTTTGAATTAGCAAACTAGTAGCATTTTTAACGCTGGTAAAAATGAGAAATAAAAAAAAACAATTGAGAGTCGTTATTTTGATTTTTTTCAGTAAAATAACATTTTTTTAAATGGAAACCCCTGTATATTATATTTTTTTCTGTTAAAGCATCAAATTTTAAACAAAAAAGTTCATAATAACTTTTCCGCTAAAGTCAAAAATAAAGTCAAAATAACGATAAATATTTTTAATTATTTGCAGTATTATAATATTAAGACGGCTATGAAAACAACATGGCGTTCGCGATTTGACAGCATTAAGATAAGCGACAAATTGTTAAACTGGACATACTCGCAACTAGAAGGCTTTGGAAAACAATGATAAAATCAAATAATGTCAAACATTAGTGTAAATACTTGTTTATAAGCTTTATTGTGTCATTAATTTAAAGAAAAATGTTCTCCCATGAAGAAAAGTGTGATATGTTAGAATGCTATTTAGTGTGCAGAAAATCCTCCTTGAGAGCAAGAGAATACTACAGTGAATTATATCCCGCTCCCATTCAACCGTATGAACGATATTTTCTGAGACTTTATCGAAAATTTAGGGGCAACGAAAATGTTTTTGCTAAAACAAGGGCAAAAAAAGAATTCATAATAAGCGAGGCCACGGAAATTGCAGTTATTGGATATTTTGAAGCTTATCGTGAGAATTCAATAGCAGATATTCTCAAGGACTCTAATTTCAGTTATGGTACTGTTCAAAGGATTTTAAAAAAATACAAATTTATTCGGTATAAGTACCGACCAGTTCAAACGCTTTTGGCAGGGGATCCAGAGAGAAGACTTGTTTTTTGCCATTGGTATCTTAGCTTCTGTCGCCAAAATGTAAATAACTTTCGTTACCTTTTATGGACAGATGAATCAAATTTTTCAAATTCTGGAATGTTTAATAGAAAAAACCACCATTATTGGTCAAGAGAAAATCTTTTGTTAGTACATCCAAGAGGCCCACAAGTCCGTTTCAGTTTCAACGTTTGGTGCGGTATAATTGGTTCAAAAATTGTTGGCCCGTTCTTTTATGAGGGAACCCTAACTGGTGAAAGATATGTGGAATTTATGTCAGAAATTCTGACTAATTTCTTAGACGAATTGGATCTTATAAGTAGACATCATCTGCATTTTCAGCAAGATGGCGCACCTGCCCACAACTCCAGAGGTACTTATCATTTTCTAAGTACTACTTTTAATGATCAGTGGATAGGAACAAATGGCCCAATACAGTGGCCTCCCAGAACACCAGATCTAAACCCACTTGATTACTTCTTGTGGGGTTACTTAAAGAACCAAATTTACAAGCGAAGGTACGATAACCTTGACGCGTTAAAGACTGCAGCTAGGGAAAAGATAACCCAGATAGATGGTAGGACCATACTTAAGACAGTTCGAGCAGTTGAAAAACGTGCCCAAAAATGTATTGAAGAACAAGGTGGTGTTTTCGAGCATCTTCTTTAAAAAAAATTGTTATTGTATTTTGTAAGATTATAAGTTGATGTTGAAAATAAGGTTTGTCGATACAATTTAATTGTTTCAGATTGGAGGCCATAACTTCAACAATTTGTAACCTAGGAGAAAAGTTATTGTAAGCTTTTTTGTTTAAAATTTGATGCTTTAACAGAAAAAAATATAATATACAGGGGTTTCCATTTAAAAAAATGTTATTTTACTGAAAAAAATCAAAATAACGACTCTCAATTGTTTTTTTTTTATTTCTCATTTTTACCAGCGTTAAAAATGCTACTAGTTTGCTAATTCAAACAACTTTGTATTTTCACTAATAACAAAGTTACTAATGGTGGACACTTGATTTGGATAACCCTGTATATATATATATATATATATATATATATATATTCGACAAAGTCATTCAAATCTGTTCGCTATGTCATCTTTTTCATTATTTAGTTTTTACAATCTTGTTAATAACGATGAATTATTCAAATGCAGAAATGGCAGAAATGCATTACGTATATGGCCTTGCCGACGGTAATGGTGAGCAAGCCAGACGGATCTATCACCAGAGATATCCTGATCGTGCTTTGCCAGATAGTCGAACCTTTCCTAATATTTATCGCCGTCTTGTTGGTTCTGGTTCTGGTTCTGTCCGAAAAGGAACATCTGAAGGTAGACCTCTAAGTGTGAGAACAACTGAAATTGAGGAAGCAGTGCTGCACGAAGTCAAAGAACATCCTGAAACGAGTACGAGGAAGATCGCTAGACACTTAAATATTTGCCATCAACTTGTTTGGAGAATTTTAGTGGATTTTTTGTTATATTCTTACAATAGTTTAAGAGTACAGGCATTACTTCCCATTTATTTTCCAAGACGTGTGACCTTTTGTCAGTGGTATCTTCAAAAAATTACACTCCGCAATTCGATTCGATTATATTCACGGACAAAGCTAATTTTTCTCGAAATGCCATTCAGAAGTTCCACAATAATCATTTGTGGGCAGAAGAAATTCCCTATGCCGTAACCGAAACCCATTTCCAACACCAATGTTCGGTTAATGTATGGGCAGGAATTATTGACAACCACTTTATTGGCCCATTCTTCTTGCCGGGACGACTTGACGGACAGACTTATCTCAATTTTCTTCAACAACAGTTGCCTTTGCTGCTTGATGATGTTGCTGTAAGCAGTGGCGGCTCGTGCCAATTCAGTGAGGTAGTGCCAGAATGGAAGCCATAATTTTAAATCGATTCAAAATTGTAAAGAATAACTTATAACTTACCCCTGATAGTTAGTGGTCAAAGTTCTTGAGGTTCAATAAATCTATATGTCCAAAAAAAAATCAAAAATAAAACTATTTACACACGTGCACCAAATTATAAAACAAGTGTGGAGAAGTACCTATAACTTCAAAGTTTTCTTATATGAAGTCCATTCTTCTTTCTTTTTTGGTAGCAAAGTTTTCGATTACCTTATTATTAAAATTTTCAGTGCCACTAACAAAATGTTTTTCTGCAGACAGCATTCCTAAAGCACTAAGCCTTTCTTCCTTCATTGTGTTTCTGATGAAAGTTTTAATCCGTTTCAGCATTGAAAAAGAGCGTTCTGCTTCAGATGTTGACATCGGTATAGTGATTAAAATACTTAAGAGCTTAAGAGTTTCTTGAAACGTACAATTTAATCCTTCCTCGTTCAATAAAATGGATAGTGGAACAGCTCCAGAAGTAGTACTCAATTCTTCTCTCTGATATAATACTTGTAACTCAGTTTTAAGCCTGTTTTTGTCTAAAAATGAAAATTGTGTGCATGTGTCATTTAAATGTGCTTCAGGAAACTGATGTTTATAAACAGAAAACTTTTCAGACACAAATAAATTAGAAGCAACTAAATGCCCAGAAAAGTTAAATCTTGTTCTTATTTGCGATAATACTGCATCGCATACGTATATTTCTAACGCTTCCCGTTTTTTGCTGCCTTCTTCAACTTGCCTTTTTTTTCTTGCCGGTTCATCAGTTTCTCTCTGCACTCGTTCAATCTCGTCAATAATGCTATCCATTTGTTCTCGTATAGTTTGAATTGCTGCTTCAAAATTCTCTAAATCATTTTTGACCTTAACAGAATCGGTGCATACTTTTTGTAATTGGTTAAAGACAATTTCAACATGTGGCATTATTTTATGGAAAATACTTAGCCAAAATACAAAATTTGTATCTTGCAGCTTTAATTTGTACCCACTGGCTTGATTAATCGACGAAGAATCGCGTGAAGTACTTTCTATATTGTCCATAACTTCAATCAGGTCTTTCCTATTTTCATAAACTGTATGAACACCTCGTGACTGAAAATTCCAACGTGTTTGGGAAGATCTTGGCAATCTGCGATTAACTATTTCATCCAAAATTTTTGTTCTTTGAGGAGACGTCGAAAAAAAAGAGCACAATCCAGATAAATTATGGAAAAATATTCTAGCCTGCTTATTGACAGAGCATGCGCTTGTCATAATTAGATTTAACTGGTGTCCATAGCAATGAACATAATTTGCAAGTGGATAAGTTTCCTTAATAATTTTTTGAACGCCTTTCAATTCACCACTCATAACAGACGCACCATCATAGCTTTGAGCTATTAATTTGTTTGGATTTTGATCTAGTAATGGATTTACAACATTTAAAACGCATGCAGCGATTGATTCGGCATCGTGTCCGTCGGGGACGTAAAATCTCCAAAATCTCTCAACTGGTTGTCCTTTACACAAATATCTGAAAATAATAACTAACTGAAATTCACAGGCTACGTCCGTCGTTTCATCGGCAATTACTGCAACAAAAGGAGAATTTACAATCTCCTTCTTAACTTCATCATGATAAACATCTAGCATGCACTCAAGAAGCTCGTTTTGAGTTGTTTGGCACTTTGAATATGGACTTTCAATTCGTTGTCTAATTCGGCGCTAGAATTCACCAGCTCCTTAAATATGCCTCTGTTTTCCGAATTTTCCTTTTCATCATGACCCCTTAAGGCTAACTCAAATGCTCCACAAAACCTTATACAATTAATAATTTTATTCAATACATATCGATTCTTATCCACTTGATTATTATGTTTAATTAGATCATTGCGATAAGCCGAATTGAGTTGAGTCCTTATATTTAATTTACCAACAATAGAAAAGCTAAAAACATTATTCATATGGACTTGGGATTTTTCGTGGGTCTTCATTTTATCCCATATATGTATAAGATCGTCTGTACCTTTTTTTGACCAAGTCTCGTCACCTCCAAATAGAACACATACAAAACAAAATAGTTTATTCGTTTCTTCACAACCACATATCCAGCTGTTTTTATCGCACACATTTTTATTAAATTTGCGACAGCGCGATTTTTGTCCGCTACCACTTTGTTTCTCAATTTTTAAATCGGGTATTGGCCGTCCTAATTCTTTAATTTGCAGTTTTTGATCCAGCGAAAAACCACTAAATGAGTTTTTTAATATCCCGATTTTATTCATTTTCACTAGTTTTAATAAAACAGTAAAAAATATGATCACAAAACAGAGCAGTTCATTAACACTAGACGTACTAAAACAAAAAAGGTATTTTTCACTTTTCAGGTAAAAAAAGACCGAAATCAGCACTAGACGTAATCATAACGAAACGACCGACCGAACAAAAACACCGCCGATATCATTTGATAACGAATTACGACTGATGATGTGCCTGGCACAAATTATACTTGTCTTTCGCTATTCACCTCATATAAAAATGTCTAGCGTAGCGTTATCTCTGTCGCTCGTATGCGATGCTGGTAAAATTTCTCTCTTTTTATTTGGGCCGGCCCAAAATTGGCACAAGTTGATGACGTCAAGGTCAAGGCATGCTTTCCGTCTCGTCGCGTCGGTCGGGTGCGGGCGGGTGCTTGCGGTGTTGTCACGTTGTCAGTGTTGTCACTTCATATAATTTATACCAAAAAAAATGAAAAAGCAGAAAATAAAGTAAAACATTGAAGATTGAAAAAAATATTCTTTTTGAAGAAGACAAGGTAGTGCCATGGCACCGTGGCACTACCTCACGAGACGCCACTGGCTGTAAGTAATAAGAACCTATATGTGGTACATGCATGATGGTGCACCAGCGCATTTCAGTGTAGCGTTTCGTAATTAGTTACAAACTTTATCCAAAACGTTGGATTGGGCGCGGTGGGCCCCAAGAATGGCCACCAAGGTCACCAGACCTCAGCAGTTTAGATTTCTTTTTGTGGGTCTATCTTAAGACACTAGTGAACACAAGTCCCATCAACACTGTAGACGAATTAAGAGAAAGAATAGTTGCAGCTTGTGATAGAATAAAAAATACTCCAGGGATATTTCAACGAGTGCGTAATTCCATGAGAAGGAGGGCGGAAGCATGCATACTAAATGAAGGGGGCCATTTTCAACAATTTTTGTAATCATTTCGTTGGTTTTAATGTCATGTTTATGTTGCCAGTTGCTTGTTGTTGTTCATTATCCCTAATGTGTTTAATTTTTCCAATTAAATTAATAATAATTTTTCAAGTTAGACAATAGAACGGTTTTTATTTTTTTAGTCAAAAACGGCGAATCGAAGGAAAACAATTCAAGAGAGATCATTTGTTTTAAATTGAACGGGGAATTCAAAAATAATTCTATTTGACAAAAACCATTGGCGTACCATTTTTTTTTTAAATATTGAAGTCAATACCCGTACGCACGCCACTGTTGAAGCTAGAAATTATTTTTGTATTGAAAAAATATGCAACTTTATTAACATTCATTTTTCATGTAGATTCACACCCTTCGCATATTATTAAGGAACGCCCTGTATATATTACCTGACCTAAGAAGACGAATTATGGGTTCATTCAAACCATAAGTCACATTAAGTGGAATGTTTGCTAACTGTTGAGGACGATTCATATGACCATTGGTAATTTGTGCAAGGAAAGTAAGTTAAATTCCAACCTGCGCCGCTCAAGAGAAGTCATATTTATGTAGAGAAGAGTATAAGTATAACTATACTCCTCCCCAATGAATCCCATTTTATATCCACAGATTACAGAATACTCAAGTAACTAACCAACCAAAGACCACTACAAAATTTTAAAAGAAAAATGTGACAGATCAACACAATGGCGATTTATAAAACCCAACATATTATATGCGCAACTGATTGTTTTTTCAATATATACGAGTACACCTTAAATGATAATTTTGTAGTTTCTTACGATCTACCGTTGATGCGGGATTCCAGACGTAACACCAATAAGACGAGATGTACTACACCCACAGAATCTTATACCGTTTGAGATATATCAGATAATTAATTACTTATCCAATTCAAGAGCTTTCCCTGCACAACCATAGTTGTAAAACCCAAATTAACAGAGTCCCCCTGCTGACCTTGCTCTGTCGAATTGCACAAATAGTTACTGTATAATATCAAGTCGGACAACTTGACTTATCCTGACGAAAATCATGCTGCTGCTGTTTTGAGATTCATATTGTAGAGATCTACTTATCAAGAAATCCATCAGTTTCGGGATAGATGACTGTACACACACCACACGATAGTTTTCAACAATATACTTATTCCCTGACTTAAAAATGGGCGTTAAAAAGCTTCGTTTTCAGTAATTTGTAATATATTTTATGTCAATTATCCCGGCTTAGAGGTATTTGTTCCATCAAAGCCTGCCGGTTACTTATAGTTAAAAATGTCGTTTAGATTCTCGTTACTCAATGATAGATTTCACTCGAAACATGCTTCGCTTTTCTACAACTTTTGTCACTACTTCACTTTGTCTTCTTATATTTTTCAGAACTGGCGTGAGATGTCATTTCCCTGCATTCAACTATTCATCTACCTCACAGTAATAGTGGGCGACCTGGCAATGTCCATCTACCAACGCTGTTGGCTCCGAAGATCAAATGGAGTAGGCTATGTAGCCCACTTGGCTGGCGCTTTAGCGGGAGTACTTGTGGGTATCTGGGTCCTGAAGAACTTCAGACCCACCAAGAAGGAAACCTACCTTTGGTGGGTTGCTGTTTTTACATTTTCAGTACTCATGGGTGCTATGATCGTGCTGAATTTTGTCTATGATACGTGGTTAAGGAAATAGAATTAAGGAAGCACAGGAAGAGGCACTGACTCATGATTTTCAGGAGAGTAATTTTACTACCGACATGTGTATTTGCTGCTTTGATTTTTTCTTGGACATTTTTTTCTCTGATGCAACTCAATATTGTTGGATGTGCCTGAGAGCAAAACGTATATATGTTCAAACTTCATAATTTATTTACAACACTGTCTAACTACGTTGTACGTTTATTTTCAGAGTTTTTGATATGTTTTCTATGGAAACTGTGCCTTGATCGTAAGGCTACTGAGGGCTGAATAACCATCCATCTGCACCAATTCATAAAAAAAAATGTTTTTTTGCAATTCCAAATTGACATGTATTGCTAAAATGCGTACCTATATGCTAATTTTATCAAAATGATAATATGAATGTCGGTGAATATTAAGATTTATCAAATTTTCTCAAATACGTCCTTAAGGTACGCGCAATATATATCTTTGTAATGAGGTCTTTGATATAACTACTCTTTGATGATGTCATTTGTAAACGGAGATATAGACTAAGTTCACGTGGACTTGAGATTTCACTTTTTTAAAGGAATTGATATAAAGAAATATGAATAAAACGTTATCACTAATGCAGCTCCATTGTATCGTATTATCGTACATATCGATGACTGTGATCTAATTTTTAATTATATAATTTATTAAGTAAAGCAGTGTTGTGACTGATATTTTTTCAAGTTCGTATATACATATATTAAGTGGTTCATTTTCTGTTCCAATGTATTAAAATTATGTTATTTGACAAAATAGAGAAATATGATTTTACATACATTATTTTTTCCATAATCATACATACTACTATTTATATGTTTTCTACATAAAAGGTTTTCCACAAAAGACTTAAACGCATGTCCTTCATCGTTAAGATTCTGTACCTGTAAAATTTTTAACTTATTTTCTTTGTTACTCTAAACTCTGATTTTTAAACTTATAACTATCTCTGAGATGCAGATTGTAAGGCTAAAACTAGGTGATTGGAAAGACACATACATCTAAAATATTCTTTATTAAATCATTAAAAAAACTATTCAATATTAATAAATATAAAGGTATTGCATTCTTTAACATACATATATATATATATATATATATAATTACATGAATATATAAAATATATTGTTCATTTGAAAAAATATACAAACATAGTATCAAAGATCACACTGGTAATTGGCATAAGAGCAAACACGAATGTAGTAAAAATATGTTCAAATCGAAAGTGGGAAATACTTTATGCCCTAATTCTACTTGTATTCTTAAAAGTTATCTAAAAACAATGAAGATCAAAAACTTTTCTCAAAATACTGTCAAGTGGAATGATCTAGCTTTTGTTCAAAATGACAAATTTTGCTATAAGAATAAAATTAACAGAATAATACATAGTTCTTGGGCAACGAGAAATTGTCATCGATTTTGTGGAATGTTTGTGCATTAAAACTTGTAAATGGGTATCTACGAACTATAGAGTTATAAAAAAATATTAGTTACTCTTCAGAAGAACAATTTCCTCGTCAGAGCTGCTGGAAGCTGCATCTTCAGGATAGTCAATATTCTCGTCCTCCTCATCATCATCGTAATAAGGCCTTATGAGAGGCTTTTCTGAAATAACAAAAAGATCCTGTTGTAGATTTGGGATTTAGAGGGATATCGAAACTACTGAATGATACGAGTGTCAAGATATCTAAAAAATGAAAAATGGCGCCAATTAGGTTGACTCTGCTCTTCCCAGGGAACGCCATCAGTTCATAAAGAATTAAGTTCACCACAAGTTGAACCCTCGAAGAAAAAAGTTAGTTACGAGCATATACAATAGGGGAATTAAATGGATCAAGTCAGTCAAAAAGACCCATACAATTAGTCTACAGACGTTCTTTCCCTGCCCTACCTGTGGTTACCGTCCATCTGACAACGTCGCCCTATCCCATATCTGACCGCACGACACGACATATACCCTCCCCCATTCCGTACAACTCCCAATCCCAATCTTTAACTTGTTAAAAAACCTTTGTGAAAACGATCACGATCTTTTGAAATGTCAAAAAGCTTGTTTTTTTTTCGTCCTAGGCATAACTGTAACCTTGTGTGAAAATTTCATCAAAATCCGACCAGTACTTTCCAAGATATAGACAGGTAAAGGAAGTGCGGACAGATAAACAGACCGACGGAAATGAGTGACATGATATTTCATTAACATCCAAAAAACATAATATCTCATTTTCTAAATTTCTCGATTATAATTCTTCCTCTCCAAGGGGAAAGGAAGTAAAAATAATCTTAATGAACCCTGTTCTATTTCATTTAAACGACTGTTAAACGGATCCTTTCTTAAATATAGTTAGTCCGAAAGTTTAAATGGAAAATTTTAACATAGGTGATGACAATACTCACTTTGTAGTGGTGTTCTGAAAAGCTCATTTTCCTTAGTCTCGTCAAGGTCTTTAAAATCCTCATAGAAAGTATACTGTGATAATGGATCGTATTTTGCTCTCTTTCTCTTACATGCCACATAACAAAATATGCCTAAACCGAAAATACTGGCACAAATGAAACCTAAAAAAAACGACAAGTCAATTACTCTCTTGACGGTATTGATGTATGTGTTATTGCTTACCTGTGAGTAACACAAACGGCAATCTTGGAACTCCGAAATAATTTTGGTCCCTCTTCAATTTAACGATGACCACTTTTGGAAATGTACTCGTATGTACTGCATTCACGTCAACCAACTTGACGTTTTTGTGGTAAGCAGATGCTGTAACTTCAAGCGTGTACTTGCCTGGCACCACAGGAATTCCATATTTTCCATTCGAATCGGAGAAAGTTGTATAATTGTTTTCTAAAATCGTAACTTTGGCGTTTGGAACTGGATGATCGGAGTAATCCTTGATATAACCTAAAAATATCATTAAGAGTCAAGTGCAATGCATCATAATGACTCATAACTTTTTTAAATTCTGGAATAGAATAGTAACCTTTGATTCCTGTTTTGACAGATCCTTTAAAAGGCTCTCTCAATGAACCATCTGTAACAGATTCTTGTTCATTGGTAGGATGCACTACTGTACCTCCGTATACTTCTTCCTCGCCACGTTTCAAAATAACCTAAGAATTAGTAATATTAATTTATCATAAGGAAAACTAAACACAGTATGTACTTACCTTCAGTGACAATACTTTTTCTTCCTCCACTTCCACATGCAAAGTTTCAGGCTGGTAGTTATGGCATGCTATTTCTAAAACGTACTGCCCAGGAAGCAGCAAAATCTTGAAATGAGCTAATCGTTTTGTAACATCAAATTGCAGTTCCATGCCAGTAACTGAAATTGTTGCATTCAACATGGGCTCCCCCAAGACGTTTTGAATTACACCTTCTACACCTGAAATAATTATAACATGAATTCAAATTTCTTGATAGATAATTGAAAATTTGCATAAAAATAAAGGTACTTCCAAACCACCTCTATCAAGCTAATTTTGGTGTGTTTCGTAAAAAATGGCGTTAAGTACTACTACACCCTTCACGCAACATTGCCATCAGTCCATAATGACTTATGTTCGGCACAAGTTAACCCCTCTGAAGAAAAACACGTACAACAATGAAATTAAGCGGATCAAGTCAGTCAAACAGGGCCATACGTTCAGTCCACAAATAATGCTGAGATCTAGAAATTTCTTCCCTGCCCCACCAACTGTATCGACCATCTGGCAACGTTGCTAGTCAAGCATGCCGTAAACCAGCGCCAGCGGTGGGAGGTCAGGCGCAGACAGGATTTTATATCCATAGAGGTACGTTCACGCACCAGATTGTTTCAAGATTAAGTAGGTGCACCGCAGCAATGAAGCTGGTTTATTCAGTGATCAGCTACTAGTAAATAAACATGTGGAGTAGTACAGTGTTGACACAACGAAGTCGGCAAAAAAGTCAAAGTTGGTCTAGTTGCCAGGTTTCGTCTTCCAACCACTAGATATACCTTCGCAGCGTTGCCGTACGACCGATATACGACGTGTTTGTTGAAAATATATCTCTAAGTTTAAAGGGCAAATGTACGGGAAGATATGTGATGTGAAACTCCAATGTTTAACCACTACCAATATTTTTCAAAGACGAATTTGAGGGATTTTTATTTTCTTCGTACTGGACTAGACAAAAACTACAAAGTCTTTTTGTTCCTGTGTTAAGATTTCATAAAAACTGAAGCAGTTATTTTCAAGTTATAAAGGGGGTTAACGTCTAGTGAACAGACGGTCTGACCGCCAGAAAGACAGACACACGAAAACGATGCGATGCGATTTGTGGAGTACATGTCATGGAATACCCAAAAAACATATCTAATTTTTGAAATTATTCGCAGTTACAATAAACAAACATAATCAACAAAAACACATTATGTCAAAACCTCAACCTTTGAGCAACTAATCCGTACTGATTTTTTTAGAATGAATTGCCTTAAGCGTCAGATAGGTTTTATCATATATAAATTATAGAGGTGAAACAATTTTCCTTACCCGTCAAAGTTGTAGATATAACTTTCATGATAGCATCCAAATTATCCCTCCAGATGAACGGAATATTACCTATCGCAGGATACTCGCAACAACTTACTTTGGCGGTTAACATTGGTGCATTATATTCGCGGTATAGGTATTCTGTCAAAAGTTCATCTGTTCCTTTTGCAGGTCCACTGCAAACTGGAGGGTACTTTAAAACTGACAAGTATTGTTCGGCTATCTTTTTGTATAGCTGGATTTGGTCTTTGGTATTTGGGCACCTAAAAAAGTTATATGGATTATATTACATAAACTGTGAAGAACTATTCTATGAGAGAAGGGGAACTTCCAAAGAAATTTAATAACCATTACGATAAAGATCAAGCATTAAGCTCAAGACGATTTCAAATGCTGAAATATTCTCTATATCATCAAACTTACAGTACTCCACTGGATCCCCCTTCGATATTCAAAATGAAATCAAACTTTTGTTCTAAAAGTAGATGTTTGAGAGCATTCGCTACAGATTTTGTGTCTTGATGGTTGCTAACCCTGGAAAAAAACATGTTTGGAAAATGCTGCGACAGAATACTTAGAAATTGTGCCCTCACCTGCTGGTAACCAGCTGCTCACCAACTTGCTTGAAATCTGAAGATATATTGTTGCACAAATACTTGTCAGGCTTAACGTTTCCCAGAGCTTCTTTTTCATAGTCACCCCAAATCTGTTCGAAGGCCTTGTCGATCACCGGGATGACATGAACGACAGTATTCTTCAATATTTTCATAATTTTAAAATCTCCTATATGGTAACCTTCCAGTAAGTGGCGTGCCAGATATATTCCAATCTCTCTGCCTATCGGTTGAGTAGCGAATAGGTTCCCGATCACGCCGATGTGGAACTTTTTGTCATCATCCACCACATGCTTGAAAATTATTAAAATAAAACACAATTAAAGACCAAAAAATGTTTCGAATCATATTATCAATAGTCCAATCATGCACTTCAAGTTTATTCTAATAGTGGTTTGAAACTTAGGGAAAAGGCATCAAAATACTTAAAATTGCCTAAATGGTGCTAATTCAAATATTCACCTGGTCTGTGATGATCAAAGAATGCACAGCCATGGAGATGTAATCTTCGCCACTTTTGAAAGAGGCAGCATTAGGGTACTTATTTTCTAAATAAGCCATTTTGGAATATATATCTTGATTAGTGTGGTATTTGGGATGGTACTGATTTTCTCCTATGCCAAAATCATAGGCGCTTGCCCAGTGTAGAGGGTCGTCCTTCATCAAAGTCACATTGTATTGGACGTAACCCGATTCTGGAATTGTCTGAAACATTCAACATTTTCAAAAATCAATTGTGTTACATTAAGGGTAGATATAAAATGAGACATAATATTCGATTATACTCACGACATTTGACGTGTAACTTTCGTATCCTCTAGCGGCCACAGTTATGTTGTAATTCCCTGGTAGCAGTATCCTCCAATAATCACCATATTTTGCCGTTCGTACCACGTGATTGATACCTTCAACTATAATCTCGGCATTTTGAATAGGTCTTCCAATTGTACTAACCACAAATCCTGACACTCCTCTATGTACCTAAAAGCGTATATGGTTGGTATTGACACTCATATACTACAAATATTACTAAAGGTGTAGCCGCTTTACCTGTTCAATAAATGTAACAAGAGCTTCTTTATTATCCATCCAATACAGCGGTAAGTCTTTGGCATAAGGATACTTGTAACAGCCGATTTCTATCGTCAGAGCCATGCATCCAGCCACGAGGTAGTTCCAATCTTGCATTCCTCCTGTCACGCTGTACCACTTCGCACCATTTGTGATGCCACCTTGGAAATGTTCTTTCGGAAACATCGGACACGGCACTCCATCGTGCATAGTTCTATGTGCCTACGGATAGCTATATTACAACACACACACTACTATACAGGGTGATTCACAAGTCGTGAGCAAAAATGAAACATCATACACAGGACCGCATTTTAAGGGGGGTATTCTATGTAACATTTTTTCCTCGATGGCTTCATTAAATAGATACGGGTTGTTGAAGTTTAAAAATAAAAAATTTTTTTTTTTTAATATCTTCAAAACCGTCAACTGGGATGATCTAAAATTTGGTATGTAAGTATTGTCCATATTCAAAAGTCTTTACTTAAAATTAACGTGCACCAGTGGCGGAGATACAGGGGATTAGTGGCATTATTTTTCCAAACAAAAATAGTACGCCACTGTTTTGTTCCAATGAAGCCCTCGAAGAAAGAATGTTATATAATATATTATTAAAATGCGATCCTGTGTATGATGTTTCATTTTTGGTCACGACTTGTGAATCACCCTACCCTGTATAATAGGGATGCACCGAGTACTCGATTTGTAGCCGGTACTCAGCATACTTGCTCCATTTAAACGAGTACCCTGTTTCACCGAGCATTAAATTACTCGGTCGAGTAATTACTCGATCTCAATGCAAGACACTTATATCGTATACCAAAAACCTGAAGAGACGATGTGCTGAGTCTGAGCTCATATGGTTCTCCCAAACTTTCCTGATACGATCTCCAAGAAATTAAAGCACAATCACAAAAAAGCCCAGGTTACTGCATATTTTTGTGAGTATCAAATTCCTGATTTGGATGATTTTTAGTAAATGTCTACAGTCTTCTCCAGTAAGTAGAGTTATATGTTACTTACGCAAATACCTGACTTATGATATTTGCGTAGCTCATTTTTCATATAATATGGTATTATTACTTTGTTTTTTAATAAAAATACGCTAAGTTCATGGAACACAGCTACTATAGCTAGGCAAAATACAGCACGATCGTAGTATTGTCTTTTTGCACTTTTCAGTTGTCTAAGCTGCACAACCGTTTTTTGTGGTGCGTTAAGTTCTTGGACAAGCAAATACATCATGATAATAAAGGCGAGTTTTAAATCTCGAATATAATCTTAATATCACTTAGTACCTGAAATAACCTAAAGCAAGTTACTCCAGTATCCGGCCGAATCCCCGGTTCTCGCTATTCGAATCTGACCGGTACTTGGCATTTTGAAAAAAGTGGTACTCGGTGCGTCCTTAATATCTAATAACGTGACATGTGACGCAGTCAAACAGAAACCATCTAAACCAAACGCTAATCCAAGATGGAATAAAACGTAACAAACATGTTCGGGCGCGTGACAGCTCAGCAACAGTTGAATAAAACAGCACTCTGGTGAATTTGTTATTGATCGCTTGGTCCGCTACAACCAGCACCATCACAGAGTCGCAATCAACTGAGGCGGTGTACAATAACACAAAAATCCAATGACCTATTAGCTACATTTTTATCGTTCAATCTTCGTTCTTAGAAGTGCCCTGTTCCAACTCTTCAGCTTCGCGCACAATGCATTTCTGTGTTTACATTCGTTCCATTTTGGATTTGGATGAAGTTTAGATGAAGCAAAAAGTAGATAATTTTAAAAAAGCACATATACAAAAATCTTACGTTAGAATATGTATGCGCCAGGTACTTGAAAACCCTGTCATCTGGTGACAAGTTCTCGATAGTTGATCCACTTGCAGTATCATCAAACGGGTAGTTAGCTACTAAAGCACCATTATGCAGATTGGTTGACAAAACAAATGGTTCTGAAAGCGTCCAATCCATCACAGCTTGTGTTTCAGGTTGAATTATTTCATTGTACTAAAAAAATATGAATTAAGAAGTTTTGTCGATTCTATAAGAAGTTAAACACCTTGAATTTGACTTTATAATGTATATGTTACGGGTAAAGTTAGAATAATGATTAAACTTAGGTTTGCTCGGGTAAACGGCACAATACCTAGAAAAAGTGGTTAATGTCCAAAATAGTTTTGAAATTTTACACATTTCGAACTTTACCCGGGTAAAACGTGTTTTATCCGCTTTCGGGTGGTTAAAGTTAATTGGATGTACAAATTATTATTGCATCATCTTTCACCACGTGCAGTTCTAAAATGGCAACCGAAGAAAGCGGACTCGCGCGTTTAGCACAGCGTTTTTATGAAGTTTTCAATGAGTTGGTGTCTTCAAAAAGTGCAAACAGTTTTTATTTTAATAATGAACAATACCAACAAATGTTAGAATCAGTCAAGTTGGCAAAAAATGCTAAAACTAAAACTACTCTACAATATCGACGGTTAAAGAGGTTTGACATATGTTCTGTGAGAGGCGTTGAAAAGCTTATTGCTCGTGTATCATCAGGTGAATCTAGCATAAAATATTATGTTGCAAACGACGAAATGTTTGGCACTTTGCACGATGCACATTTAGCTATAGGACATGGTGGAAAACATCGTATGGAAAGTGAATGTAAGAAAAAGTACAAGAATACAACTCAAGATGTTATTAAGTTATATCTGCGCTTGTGTGAAGGGTGCCAAAAAAAACTTAAATCTGCCAAAAAAGGACTTGTGGTTAAGCCGATGGTTTTTTTTGGAGATGAACAGCCGTTGCCAAGTGGACCTGATTGACATGCAATCACATCCAGATGGGGAATATAAACTTATCATGGTGTATCAGGGCCATTTAACTAAGTTTGTTCAAATACGTGCATTAACATCGAAAAGGGCTGAGGAAGTAGCTAAGAGCCTGATAGACATATTTTGTATTTTCGGCGCCCCATCCATACTACAATCGGACAACGGCCGTGAGTTCGCCAACCGTGTCATTGAAGAGTTATGTACAATGTGGAGTGGACTTAAAATAGTCCATGGCAAACCACGTCATAGTCAGTCACAAGGCAGCGTGGAAAGAGCAAATCAAGATATACAAAATATGCTTATGACGTGGATGGATAATGAAAACTGCAGGCGATGGTCAGAAGGTATAAGATTTGTCCAGTTAATGAAAAATAGCGCATACCATGACGGGATACAACAAGCTCCTTATGCTGCCATGTTTGGGCATGATATTAAAGTCGGCCTATCCACATCAGCGTTTCCAAAAGAAGCTATTGGAAATCTACGAACCAAAGAAGAGCTCGAGAAAGTTGAGGAGGAATTTGGTGTAGGTGAAGAGCTTCAAGAAGAACAAAATGAAGACCAATCTATGGACAGTAACCCAGAAACAGATAACATGCAAGAAAATATTACTGAAGATGGAAATATGCAAAATATCAACAATAATTATAGAGAAAACGCTGGTAATATGGAAACTTCAGATAATCAGGGGAAATGTTCAGAGTGTGACAAACCAAGTACATCATGGAACATATGTTGTGATATGTTTGTGCCAAAAAAACATACGGTCAAACAGACTAGAGGCAAAACGACATTTAGAAAATCAAGCAAAGAAAATGAAAGCTTTGTCTAAGTCAAAGTTTCCGCCATGTTCTGCTGGAGCTTCAGTGAGAGGGAGAATTCCAGACGTTGATAGAGGGAGGGGTGATTTTAGAAATATTCTCATGACAGTAATCGAAAATACTGACGACGATTTTTATAAGCTAGCACACAAGAGAGGAACTATCGAGATGTTTTCTAGGAACCAATTTTCTGTGTGCAATGAGAAACTTGTAGACATGGAAAGTGTATCACTGGAGAAGAACAGTTTACGACAACTTGCAAACGAACAATGTCTTTTAGGAGGTCAAGGTTACAAACGATGCAACTGTAAAACTAAATGCATGACCAATAAGTGTACATGTAAGGTTATTGGAAATCTTTGTAAGTCAAAATGTCATAACAGCTTATCTTGTTTAAACAAATAGATTATCGTATCTTGTACTTTGTAAGGATACAGTTTCAGTGTAACCTTTGATTTTTAAAATCCGTCCTTTCAATAAAATGTGTTTTTATAACATTTATGGCGTTACTTTTTAAAATTAACCACACGAAAGTGGATAGAACGCGGTTTTCAGTAATATTTTGGACTTTACCCAGGTTGTTTGGGTATTGTGCAGTTTACCCGGGTAAGCCTAAGTTTAATCATTATTCTAACTTTACCCGTAACATATATACACTACTTAAAAAAATTAAAGGAGCACGAAAAAAATCCAAATTATTCGGTTATTTTTGACAGGCTCTAATTTCGGTGAAAAATGATCGTAGAATCGAAAAAGCATTTTGAACCTTCAAGATTATAGTTTTCAGGTTTTCTGGCAGAAAAATTTTAGGAGCAACGGTTCTCAGGCAATTCTAACAGATAGCCCAAGAAAAAAATTATCTCTAAATAAATCTTCTATAAGATTTGATTGCAAACTTTGCGTAAAATTTGTTTTTCTTTTCTTAGCGTTGATTTTATGAAAGTCAAAAACTTACTACTTTTTGCATTGCATTGGAAAATCGGCCGCATTTTTGGGACTGCTAATGAGCAGGCTAATGTTTTTAGGTTTTTTATACCTCAATGTATACCTTATAACCGCAATCTGGTTGAAAATGGAAAAATCATTTTTCTTTTTTTGTTGCCACTACTGAATATCTGTAACACCTTCAATTTTAAAAAAGCAATCAGAAAATTTTTATTCTTTTATTCACGGAGACTTCCAAAAAACAAAAATGGGGATCAGGGGCGAATATAGTAAATACTTTTTGGGGGGTCTCAAAGGCGGATTTAGGTATTTGTCGGTTCGGGAAAAACCGTACAATGGATTGATCTGCCGTCGAGCAGGGTTATTAGGGATGTATTGAGGCATAAAAAACCTAAAAACCTTCTCATTAGCAGTCCCAAAAATACGGTCGGTTTTTCAACACAAAGCGAAAAGTAACTTACTTTCTTTTTAATCGACACTAAGAAAAAAAATCCTAAAAGACTGCAATCAAATCTTATAGGAGATTCATTCCAGTTTTCGGAAATACCCTTACATTCTCTGTGCGATCCGGTTACCAAGATATCAGTGACCGATGACAAAACGATCCATTTTCATTCAGTCAGGTATCTTCGCGCCAAATGATCGCGTCGAGATTTTAAAAACAGGATATTAAAACTGAATAAACGGGCTATCTACTTCATATGATGGCTTAACAGAAATAAAATTCAAGCCCGTGAACTAAAAAGAAGAAGGCGAAAGGTTTGCAAAAATTGTTTCTTGCGCTATCTGAAGGCTTCAAATTGATTTTTTTAAAGTCTAGATCCGACGATGTTTCACCAAAATACAGCTTGTGAAATATCACCGATAAATTTGGATTCTTTTCTTGCTGCTTTGATTTCTTTCACACCTAATGAAAATAAACAGTTTCGTTGACGACCGCGTACATTTTCCAATGTTACGGTTTGACATACAAACATCATGCAAATCTAGTAAATTATAATTATAATCGCCGTAATTAATTTTAAACTGTATTTTGCATTTCTTCATTCATGTAATGTTGTAGTGGTAAAATATGTCCATGCTATGCCAGACCAAACGGCGATGAATCTAGTATATTTTCTAAGGAAATGCAATAAAGCTCCTATGCTAGCTATTCTGAGAATATAAAAAGACCCACTGAAACTTTGCGTAAGATTGCGAATTATTACTTTATTTGTCCAGTACTGATCAGGGAAATTCCTGTTGAGATCATAACCGTTTACATTGTTGCGTCCAATAAGACTGGAAGCGTCACCTAGAAGAAACATTTATTAGCTTCTGTGATCATGACATTTAAAATCATGTAGTGTTTGTTACCTTCCTTTGAGATTTCATAGCCATCAGGATTCATGCTTGGCAATAAATGTATCCTGGTAGTGTTTAAAAGCTTCGTTATTCTTTCATCTATTCCGTATCTTTCACATAAATATTTGATTAAATACAAGAGCATTTCTCGCCCCACTACTTCATTTCCGTGCATATTTCCTATGTATTTAAACTCAGGCTTGCCTTAAAAGGAAGGAGAAATTCATTATAGGTTTGTCATACATCTTATTTTCAAACATGACATTACTGTTTGTATCTTTCAAAATAAAAAAAATTAATTTATAGAGTTGACATTATTTTTTAACATACCAGCAACATGTTCATTTGGTGTATTGCTGATAACAAAAACCCAAAGTTCTCGCCCTTGCACAGATTTTCCTATAGAATGCAGTTTGGTAATATTGGGATACATGGTATGATAGAATTGTAGATACCTAGTTAGTTCATCGTAGTTGTGATGTTTGAATATGGAATTATCGTGTATTACGAAGCCATACTCATCAAAAGGATCTGTATCAACGGACCTCAAATCCTTGAAGTTACCTGAAAAGGAAGTATTTCTTTAGTAACAGCAGAGGGATCTATCTTATAGTTCCAACTCCTAGAGATGCCCAGTTGTAGAACACCTACACTTCAAACCTGGATGATTATACAAAACGTCACTAACGTCAGAACCTACCTACTGCCATTTTAGTTCAGAAAAAGACTCGATTTCTTCGCAATTTAGGTTGTGTATCGCTTATTTTCCGATGTTATTTAATGAACGAAAAGAATGAAATCACCTGGCAGCTGTGCAATACTCAAGTCAGTTCGACTCGAATAAAGTTTAATATTTTGGTCCGAGTTCAATAGACTTGAATGCAAGTAGATTGGTGACACGATCTTTTTGGTCCTATTATAAGAACTTGGACATAGTTGTATACCAGGTAACGAGAGAGCAGATCACCTGACTAGACTGGGGCCAATGGCTTTGGTATTGGGCCAGAACCGATACTGGGAATTAGTAAATACCAGTTTTACACCGCCCTGCACGATTGAAAACACTACAAAGAACTGGAGAAGGCATGGTTAATTCATAGTAGACCTAGAAAAACATTGAACGTTGTAGCTATTGGAGAAACGAACTGCTGGTTTAGATTGTCACAGGCTGCTGCAGATTTGTCAGACTTATATCCGTCTTGAAAGTAGGCAAAGTTTCTATTTGCTCCATACACTGGGAAGGAAATCAAACATTACCTAAGCAGGTATGCCATGTCTTATCAGGCTGGTTATAACTTTATTTGCTTGCATCATATGTTAGATTAACCGGATTTTTTTATTCCATGCAAACCTGCTTCAATAGCCTCTTCTTTTATAAAAGTAGTCTCGAGGTAGTAGTCACGTTTGTTACGTGAATCAGTGGACTAAACAGTCTAACAAGTTTGCAAAAATTACTTTTAACAAAATGTACCCTTCAGACATAGTATTCCTTAATATTGTATCTGCATTTCTTACACTCTCTTCTTCATTCTCTTTCCTTTGACTTTGTCTGGTTTCTGGGTAACCAGGCCGATAGATTAACAAACTGACTAACATACTTAAACAAAGGCAAATGTCCTTTAATATGTACTGTGTTGTATTTCTTTGTTCCTTGTTTTTGTGACTGTTATATATTTCATATATGTATTGATTTTGTTTTTATTTATCTAATTTTGGAATGTTTTTGGTAGTTTTCAAGATAGAGTACCTTGACTTGTTCTATGTCATCACAAATGATCTACAGAACCAATAAAGATTATTTACTTATTTATTTATTTACGTATCGCCTATACAGACAACGACGAATCAACCACGTTGTTTGTTGTGAATAGTGTTGCGTTTTAGTAAAGTGCATATTGCGATAATTTCGTACAAGGTGCAGTGTTAGGAAGCAGTTTGAAACAAAATACACATGTTTATAGGATAGACTTATTTATTCAATCATAATTTAATACATTATAATTATTCGAAAATTTCACAGAAATAAAATGTTTATAGAAATCACAGTACAGTTGAACACTAAATTTGTTCGTCCCATAAACAACATTGAGCAAGAAGTATAATTCGAAACATATGTATTTTATTTATTGGTTAGTATTTATTCTAAGAAGAGAGAAATATTATTTATGCAGTATACTGCATGACAAAAGACTCCTACGCAGAGGAACAAATCTAATCAAAATTTTGTATTTTCACAATATATATAATTTCATCAATGAGTAAATTTTATAGGACAATAAATATAGATGGAACATACAGATTGTCACTGATTTTACTTATGGTCTCTCTTAAGCATATAAATATATTTATGTTGCAATTTTTGTTGCATTCTGATAAGTCATAATATTTTGGACATGTAAATGTCTTTTGCCATGTAGCATATTCGTTTATCAATGTGATATGCAATGAAATATTACTAGGGTATATTCTATGCTGTAAAATGATGAACCAGAATGCTATATATCAAATTCATAATTTAGAAACTTTTACATTTATCCGTAGTAACACCACTCATAATAAGTAATACGGTCAAGTAATAGGACTTTGCTAGGTTTACTGAACCAGGATGATACGCCAAGCAGCAAAAATTTGTCTAATACTTCACAAATTGATCCATTACAGAAATGTTATGAACATGAGTAAAATATTGCAAATAATGTACTAAGAAAAATTAATATGTTTCAATTACAACTTGTATATCTGACCTCTTACTTAACAGACGATTCCATATCATCAACTTTTTGCTGACTCGAATATTTATCAAAGACTATGCAAACTACCTATGCATATGTGCAGAAAGTAGAATAGAGAGTTGTTAGTACGGACTACCCACATTAACTCTATAAAAACGTGTTTTCAAAGTTTCCTCTTAAAAGCTAGAAGTTAATTCCCTACCCGGCTTTAATTATGTTTTTAAGACCAGTACCAACCATCCGCCTTTTTTGTTTGTTTACCTTGTTCGACGGGCTCGTGTTTCAGTGTAAAGTTCTGGATGGTGGTCTTGCCTTCTTCCACCACTACAGTCACTCGTTCTGATGGGAGAAACCTGAAAAATGGACAATGCAACACACATTAAAAAAAGATGCTTAGGATCATCATTGCATGAGGATTTTTCAATTTTTTCAAAGACTACAAACAGATCTTAAGATTTAATACAAGCGTGACGACGTGAGTACTACAACAAAGGACCAGCAGATGAGCCTATTCATAAAAATATAGTTTTGCAATTTATTATGCTTGTCAGAGAAATGTTGGAAATGAATATATTATTAGGTAACCAAATAAGTTCATGCGGTTTTTAGTAGCAAAATGTAAATTTTTATTCAGAAACATACACTATTTACTCGTCGAAGTAATTACCATCACATTCAATGACCTTTTGCCAACGTAGAACCAAATTTTGTTTGCCGGTATTGTAGAACTCCCTGAATTTGTAGTCAAACCATTGGCGGACTGCATTTATTACACCATCTCGAGTTGTGAACTGTCGGTGCCTCATACAGTTGTCAAGAGACAAAAAAAGGTGATAATCACTGGGCGAAATGTCGGGAGAATATGGCGGGTCCGGTAACGTTTCCCAGCCGAGTTCAGAAAATTTTTCTCGGGTCACTTTTGCGGGTATGAGTCTTGGCGTTATCCGGCAAGAATATCACTTTCTTCCGATTGATCAAAGAAGGCTGTTTCTGGATGAGTGCTGCCTGTACTCATTGAAGCTGCTCACAATATAAGTTAGCAGTGATGGTTTGACCCCTTTCGAAAACTCATAATGGACAATTCCAGTTGCTGTCCACCAAACACACAACAAAACCTTGTTTGGGTGCAAGGAAGCCTTGGGCGTGTGTGGTACCGAATCAGTAGGCGACAACCAATGATACGAATGCTTCGAATTCGAATACAAGATCCATTTTTCGTCGCAAGTAAATAACCGATTAAGAAATGGTTCATTAGCGTTGCGTCAAATGTTTTCTGAACAAATGGTAAGACGACATAATTTGTTATCATTTGTCAGTTCATGTGGGACCCATTTACTTAACTTCCACGTCTTTCCTAGCTGATGAAGATGCAAACGAATAGCTTCAGGACTCAGTCTGAACGTTTCTGCAAATTCTTCGCACGTTGTCCTGGAATTTGCGTCCACAACCTGTCGAAGATCCACGTTGTTCATGATTGTTGGTCTCCCTAAGCGTGGTTCATCACTCAAACTGAGATCTCCCAAAGAAAATTTTTTGAACCACTTCTATGTTGTTCGATCACTAACGGCATCATCTCTGAATGCGGTACAGCGCTACAGCTTTTGTACCAAGTTTGTACTCATATAGTAAACAACTTCGAATGACTGTTTTATTCGTCGCCATGTTCAATTATTAAAAATAGGTATGTAACAATTTTCAGAAACGTTTTATGTGTGTGAGAAAAGAAGGATTCATACTAAAGTGACAACAGGTAACAAACAAACTCTATCAATCAACAACATCCATGGCAATGTGCAATACACAGCAACTGCACGAACTTATTTGGTTACCTGATATAAGGCTACAGCTATCACGACTTAGATCCAGAAACCGCCAAAACATGTTTTTTTTGTAAAATGTGATATATCCTGTTTTGCATGTGAGCTCCTCACTTAAGAATAGAAACTCACCCATAGGCCACTGCGTACATTTCGTACTTCCCTGGCAGCAGCATTCTCCAATACTCCCCCCTATTGGAGGTAGTCACGTTGTGACCTAGCCCCACAACCACAACGTCCCCGTCTAATACAGCATCCCCTCCTTCTGTCCTAACCAATCCTTTTACACCCCAATGCACAGCCTCCATGAAGGAGAGCAACGCCTCTTTGTTGTTTTTCCACTCTTGAGGCAGTTCTTTTGCGAATGGGAACTTGCAACAACTTAGCTCGAATGTCACCTCAAAGCAGTTTGAATGGATATAGTTGAAGTCTTGCATGCCACCTGAAAAAGTAGCGAAGGACGTAAAAACTAAATTAGACTACGTCATTCGATCAGGAAATTTTCATGGCATACACTTGAGTTTCCTTGAACAACATGATACACCTATTAGAGACACACCGAGTACATGGTTTGTACATGGTACTCGAGTTTACTCGGCATATTTTACCGAGCACCCGATTACTCGGCCTGAGCGCAGTAAACTTCAGTAAACCTGCAATTTCTTGCATTTGCAATGTGTGACGATTGAACTTATATGTTATTCTCAGCACCTTGCTGATGTCCACTTATTCAAGAAGTTGAGGATACACAAAAGATAGCCAAAAATTTAAAGTTCATTTTTACTGGAACAAGTTGTTAATTTTCTTGATTTAGTGAATGCAATAAAGTTCAATGGTGCACTGTTGCACTATATATGCTGTGGCTTACCTCCCTCATCCTCAGCAAGTAAACAACAATTGTTGTCTACTACTGTAATCTAGCTTGAAGTATAATGTTTTTCACTGGTAAATAACGCAGGTTACTGAGTTACGAGAAAAGGTATGGAACCTCAAAAAATTGAGATAAACAACCCCCACCCCAAGTTTTTTTACCTTTAAAATCCATAAGCAATAATCAGGATCTTCAGAAGCATACAGAAAAGAAGTTTGAGAAATCTTTACTTTTTTTGTTTTAGGCCTTTTTCAATAAATACATCACTTTTGCGTCCTTGGCATAGTGGTGCTTCTCAAATTATAGGCGGTTATAAGATTAGCGGACAGACTGATAAACCAACAGAAGATGACAGACATACAGACAGACTGATGGAGATGAATGCCATGGTTTTTTGTGATGTGAATCCAAAAAACAGATCTCATTTTCGAAAATTTTCGCGATTTACAATAATTCCCCGCCAGTAGGTGTGGCAAGTGGAAAACACGAAATTACCTTTGACTTCATACCAATAAGCTCCATTCGTTATGCCCTTGTCGAAATTTTCATTGCTGCAGGCATCACCTTTTTTCATCAACTGATGATTTTCGGCGTAAGTTAACGCCAACTTCTTGAACAGATCGTGATCAGGCGAGCGACTTTCCACACAACATGTTCTATGGGCACTGAGAAAAAAACAAGACTGTCAATGTAAGTTAAGCTCAAGAGTTACATATTTGTTTGGATTTTAAAAAAGTTTAAAAATATAAGTTTGCAGCATTATAAACTATTTAGTCAAAGTGCACTGTATAAAAAATAGTCAACTTGAGAAAAAGAAATAAGTATCCAAAGATAAGTTATGCCACTGTTATATTTAAAAAGGTAAGCAACCTTCTGACATAGCAAAGGTAGGATAGTAAGTATTACTGAGGTATAAAACCAGTTTATTGATAATCCTAGCTTTCAGTTATAATATTTTATCACCAGTATCATAAATAACAATAAATAATTAGTCCTTATATCATTTCCTCTCTGCAAAAAAATGGAGGTGAATTATGTGATTAAAACTTTCATCCAGTTTTTCGTCAGTATGACCTTCATAGAACAAAACTGACTTTCATTGCATTCAATTATTCCACAAAATTAACACATCATGAGGTTGTTTTTCTGACTAATTATTAGCTCATTCAGTCTAACAGAGAAAATAATTTAGCCACTACTAATATTTGTACTGAGATAGTATCACTGTGAATCACAGTATTTTCCGGCAATAAAATTCTTGAGAAATTAGTGGATATTTGACAAAACACAGGTTTACACATGTTAGATGCTTGGGGATATCATACTTGTACAGATATTTCTTAAAAAGGAACACAAGATTATATGCTGCAAATACTATTGATAATATTTCCGGAAGATGCACTTTAATGGCAGTTTATCTCTTATTTCATTTATTATATTTGTTATTTTATACACTTAATGAACCAAGTGATACATTTAAGTACCTTGTATCATCAAATGGATAACTAGCAACAACAGCTCCTCCATGAAGGTTACCAGAAAGTACAAATGGTCTTGAGATAATCCAAGTCATTAGTGCTATTGTTTCTGGTTGCCTGCCAGACAGTAGAGTCCCTGAAAATGAATTTATCATTAGGAACTGTAAGCTGTAATTGAAGTTAATCATTGTGTTCTCATAAATATGTATAATAAAGCCTATCTGTTTTAACTAGTAAGGGGAATTAATTACATGTCCATGTTTGGAACAGATTAAAAAACATTTTATGAAACTTAGTATATTTAGTTTGTGTTTTGAGAAAAATGTTAGATCTTTTGCAAAACCATAGACATAATTATAAAATAAATTATTTAAGCTTACCAGCTCTTTGAGGTTCAAACTGATCTGGAAAATCTCTGTTTAAGTCTACATGATTTTCATTTTCCCTACCTACATATCTATCTTTTGATTCACACTGCCCCTCCTGTAAAAAATGGTTTATGTATCATAATCAAGCACCCCACACAAGTTGATTTTTTTGAGCTTAGAATAACTTAGGTAATATATAATAGAGCTTGGTCAATCTAAAAAAGATAATATAGTGATACTGTAATATTTATAGGCTTCCAGAGTTCTAGAGGAGGTAGGTGATAGATGCATATATTTTTTTCTATGAAGTGAAAGCAAGGTCAAACAGTGCCAGAGGGTTAATCACAAGATTTTGCCAAAATAACACAGCAATTTCCTTCACTTATTCAATGTTTTCCTATATCTAGAGAGTCCCACAGTTAAAGACTCTTTCATCTCTTTTAGATGTGTTTTGAGAATGCTCTAGAAACAAGTGACTTAAGTTACAATCAAATATTCTATTATATTAAAAGCTATGCTGATAAAATCAGATACTAGGTTGTGTTAAATTAAAGATCTAAGTTAATTACTGAAGCATGGAGAATAATAATTGAAAGGTTGCAGGTAGTAGTTTACACAATTTAGCAGATTCTAACAATTCTCTTACCTCTGAGTTTTCAAACCCATCAGGATTCATCGAGGGCATTAGGAATATATCTGTAGTATTCATAAGCCTTGTTACTCTCTCAACTTTGCCATAATTGTATATCAGATACTCAGCTAAATAAACCATCAGTTGTCTGCCGATGGCTTCATCCCCATGCATATTGGCCACATATTTGAACATTGGTGTAAGCAGCGTGCGGTTATTCACATTTGAGTTGATTTCTAGGGCCCATAGCTCTCGGTTTTTCACAGACCTACCAATAGTGTGTAGCTTCACCAGACCAGTGTTTTCAGTCTCCAGCTTTCTGAATAGATTAGTGAGCTCATCGTAGTTCAGGTATCTAGGATTCTCCAGGAACTTCTCGTACTCTGGGACGGGAGTACTTAACGTGGTACCGACACAAAATATCACACACAATGGAATTATTGGTAAAAGGTACATTGCAGAAGATTTGTAGATTTGTATCACATTATTTTCTTGTATGTATGTAGACAGAGAATTTTCTGACTGCTCCTTGAGGAAAACCTCAACCGAAGCAACAGATGTGAGTCGAATTATTCGTGGAACACGAGAGAAAAACGTCAATACATCGTCATGTTAAAAAAAATAACAGGATTTTTCATTTCATACACGGTTGACGTTTTCCCCCACCTTCCCCCACAATATATTTACCATCATCAGACTCACCTACTATAAGTGTATGCAACCAGTAATACAAATGCATATGGGGTGTCCCAAAAACTATAAGTTAAAGACAAGATCAGGATAAATTAATAATTCTACTCAACTTTTGAGTCATTAGAGTTCTAGATCATTGTATGTTGTTATGCTTAACGAATGAACCATAAAAGTCAAACAACTTTTTCGGACTTCAACCTTTGAGTGTACATTATTATGAATAGTTGATATTACTACCATAAGGCATTTTTTACTTATTTCTAAGAAACTAATGTAAAAACAAAGAATGACTTCGATTAGGTACGAGAGTCCTGGCGCATATAGATCTATAGTATTTAGTTTGAAATAAAACGAATTGATTTCAGAGGTTCAATATGTTCAGCTTATCATCTATTTTCAAAATTTTTAAAACATACATAAAAATCAAAAATACCGTTCTGAAATATACATACAATCTAGACCCCTCAACATAAGATAGGATTCGCGCGACAGTCGAAGAATTTCTAGTCGTTAGCCACACAACATGCTTAGCGACAAAGTCGATAGAGACAAAAATTATATTAACATATGGGAAAAAACAAAAAACATGTAAATATAGGAGACTGACCACTTAAACAAAGAAAACACAAACATATAGTTAATTACATGAAAAATGATAAGTAACATTTCTTTAAAATATGAATCAATTAGAAATTTTTCAGACACTAGCATGGTGTCCACTGTGATATGACAACTATGAACTTGCTAAAACTTCTAGTTGTAGGTAAGATACAGCTATAACACAATTGTTAATTTCTTTTTAAGAGTCTTGGAGTACAAACGAATTCCTAACTATGGTAGCTGTCTGTCATCTCATTTTACTTAGAAGTGATGCAATCTTGGTAAGTAAATGTTGAATGAGCCATTAGATAATAGTTGGCCCTTTCTGCTTACTTGGGAAACCATACCATTAATACTAAACTGTGTTTAGTATCTTCAAATTTCCCAAATGTTCCCGAAATGTGAGCAAATTTTTACTTGATGAATTTTTAATGTGTTTGCTTGCTAGTTCTCAACTATCAAGAAAAAGCTATGCGAGCTAAGGCAGCCTCTGCCTCTAGGGTTCTCTCATTTTACTGATATAGTCTTTTCTTGAAAATGTGCGTTACAGGTAATAATTTGAGCTAGACACAAGATGTGTTTTCTATGCATAACAACCGGAGCCGGTAGGTCACTTTATTCTTCAAGAGAAGTAGTAAAAGGAAAATTAGGTTTCCCTTTTTTCGATATGGGGCCTTCTTATTTGCCTGATATTTGGCAACACCTGCCACTTCTGGACAACAAGGCAAACAAGTCCTTATCTTTATTACGGCCCCAGGTGTAGGAAACACTATGTGTTCAATCGTGAATCTGAGAAATAGGTAGATGCACGACGGAGAGAATCAATAATGTTGAAAAACTATAACATAAGTTCCTCTTACATATCAACGACCTCCTTTCCTGTACGATCAACCCAATCCACAGCTTTGCTGATCACAGCACTCTACTAGCTTCGGGACGCAACAATCTTGTTCAGTTTAATGCTTCCAAAACGCAGTATTATACCTTGACAAACAAAAAGCGTCCTAGCACTCATCCGGTTTCGATGGATGGCCGAGTTCTGTCAAAGAGCCGTTTAATTCGGCTGGTCGGAGTCCAGTTAGCAGAGGACTTGATCGGGCACGAATACATCCCGTCAATGGCGGCAGCTCCTGGGAAAAAGCTAGGACATTTGTTTAGGGCTAATAAGTACTTTTCTCCGCATGATCTCACTCTATACAAGCCCCAAATAAGACGTAGTCCCGAGTATTGCTCACACGTTTGAGGTGCTGCCGCCCCAACTTCATTATTTATGCTCGACGCTATCTTACTGATCGTCGACTCTTCTCTAACGGACAGTCTTGGACCATTTCGCTTCGGCGGCCGTCAGCGATCTAGCTCTCTTCTACCTCTACACCTACGAGCTTTACTCCTCAGAGCTCTCCTCCATGATGCCGCCACGCGATATGCCTGCCAGACAGACCCCCCTGACTTCGGCCTCCCATCCTAGCCGTGTCGAACTTCGTACATCCAGAACTGGCCGATACGAGATTGTGGAACTTTCTACAAGAGGAAGCCTTTCCCAGTTCCGCTAACCTTAGGCCTTAGGCAGTTCAAAAATCGGATCAACAAAATTTTACCTTTGAGGCTTTTTGGGCGAAGGAACCGGGTTGGAGGGATGTGCTGCGCATCAAGACAATTACTATGTCCATGTTGAGTAAAACATCGACACAAAAAATCATGTAGCTCTTGGCATAACCGTAGAATTGCTCAGCAACCTTAGCCTGAATAAGTCTATAACTACACGCTACCTCTCAAAATTCAATGAATGTGTTTAAATAAAAGTACGCTCTGGGTTTGATTTACGACAAGGTTTGTGTTCGAAGAAGTATTAAATAAAAAACAACGTCTATAATTTAATTTTTTATTTCGTAATTTGACTTTTTGTTTGCAGAAATCAGAGAATTTGGCGACATCTACCTTAGATCGATCTTTGATAACAATAACAACTGTTGGGGTGAGCAATTATTATTTTATTTTCTATTTTGTTATTATATTAAAGTTATTATGGATAAACACTCACTAGGAGTATTGCATATTTAACGTGTATAAAATGTAAATGCGATAAAAATACATTTTGCCGTCTATTCACATTTTTATTTAGGTTGCCATCAAAAGAAACCAATGCTGAAAATCTTCAAATTCTCATTTTAGCCTGCATCGCTCAGGTGTTTGGTGTTTGCTGAAAATGTGTCAGTGCTCCGTTAGTTTGAATTATATTTTAATGTTTTAAACGATGACAATTATTGAAACTTTACAGGTGGCATCAAATATGTGTGTATCTATGACTACGTATTGATATCCACAAAAATATTATAATTATTATAAGCTCAATAAAACAATGCATATTAGATGATATTAGCTAACACATACAGTGCGTCACTGAAATCTTATTCCAGAATTAAATGTTTGCTAAGGTTCAATGAAAAGATGTAGTGTGGAAAAATACTGGATGACTGGTATTATAGAACACAGGTTCACAAAATTCTTATAGCTGTATGGCATCACTAACTAACTAGAGTTACCTCAACACAGTTAAAATATAAGATGAAGATGTATGTATATCGGTAATGAGAGTTTGATATGACTAGATAGTTTTCAGTTTCTCGCCTGTACGAGCGTCCTTTCATCTGGATAAATAATTTTCAGCTTGTCCTCACCACCATTATTTGTACGACTACAGGGAATAAAATTCGTTATGCGATCATATTTGTAGTAATGTAAAGCAAAAAATGCATAATGGTGTAAGTTTACAGTTCCTACATTTCTATGCGTTTGGGGATGTTGCCGGAAATGGAACTCTGGACGCGAACTTTAATATTTTGGGGAGATAGTGAGTACATAAAATATATACCTATGAGATTGTGTTTTCACATGAACAAATCTAAGAGTGGTGGGCACCAACCAAGAGAATCCAAAACTAAATCAGGTTTTTGCTGAAAATATATAAAATTCGTTGTGACATTGTTTCCATGTATGAATGTAGTAGAACTACGTAGTATTAAAAATATCATCTCATTATTGATATAGCGAAGTCCTGGGGTTGCCAATTTTATACATTTTCAACACAGTAATTTGGCCTTAAATTCTCTTGGTGTACTTGGTTTTTGTTTTTTATGCCAGGAGACAAGGAAATACTGTAAGCATGAGAAAATCAAAATTCTTGATGTTCCACAAACATCGAGGTTATAAAAAATCTGATGTCTAAGACGCATAAATGATAGATTATGTAGTTGGAACAGCTGCTCCCGTTTTGGAGCTATTCTTTAAAAAAGAGCTGCCTTTTTCTCCGCAAATATGTTCAAGTGAGATGCGTCTACAGGTTAAAATATGATCATGAAACATTTACTACGGTTTATCAAATAAAACTGTTATAATTGCTTTTAAGCCTGGCGGCCTTTCCTAAAGACTGTAAATGTTATATGTGAGAGACACTGCATATTGAATTGACTGTGATCTTTAGCACCTTTCTCGTATAGTATGCTTTATTGCAATGCTTGAAAATGCTTTTCTGGTTGCTCACTCTATACGACAGGCTATTTACCTACTGAAAATCGATATATCTTCCATTGGTTATAAGCCAAAGAGTGGGGTAAGTTTTATTCATGGTTCTACAATTCAAAAATTCCGCTTGAATTGAAAGGTAACATTGACAGTCGATATAAAGAGCGCAAATTGAATGTTTAGTGGCCATACCCTTTCGATTTATTTTGTTTAATGTTCGGCTCCACATTTGTCAGTGCCTGAAGTCGTTAAAACTCGGCTATGTCAATCAGAATATCATATCAGGAAAATCAAAAATCATTAGATTTACAGCTATTTTCTTTTATACAGGCATCTCGCATCCTGTTTGAGTATTTATTTTGAAAATCTTGTGTTTGCCTGAGTATATTAGTAGTATAGATTAATCTTGTTCTACAGTAATTTTAATCATCTATAATGTGTTTCTAGCAGGTGTCATCTTGAAGTTTCAGCATGAAGGTAAGCATTTATATTTTTTCATTAAAACATTTTTAATGTTATTCTTACTGCATAAAATTTGAACCATAATTCAGAATTCATAGCGGAAAGACAGAGTAATCAAACTGTATTCTTGAATTATTTACAAAGATAATTTAAATCACAATTGAAACAGGGGCAGTAAAAGACGAATCAGACATTAAACGATTTTAAAATTAGCACGCAAATTGCATGGGTTAATACATTCGTAATAATCAATTTTTTAAATCCTGCTGATTATCGTAAAATCGAAAAGACAAACTAATCTTATTAAACAATACATATAGGGTGTTAATAAGGTAGCCAAACTTCAAGAGGTAATTTCTTGGATGATTCTAAGGAAAAAAGTTCAATCCTGATATGCAATATTAGTCGCCAAATGTTTCATTTTTGAAATAATATCAATTTTATTAAATTTTGACTTTTTGTGAAAAGTCTAATTTCTCTGTTGGTTTTATTGAATTTGTTATATATATATATATATATATATATATATATATGTATATATTTCCCCGTGTACATATGTAACATTAAAAATATGCATTATAACAATTAATTCCAAAGATCGGACGATGGAACATTACCAAAATTACGCTTGTGATTTTTTTAAATATACCAAGGAATCACCCTTTGCTGTATTTTATCAACAACCTTAACGTGCAAACGAAAGCATACGAAAAAAAAAAGAAATTACACATTAGCAGTAAAAATAATAAGTAAAATATGTTGACTTCTGTTTTTGAAAAATTGGATGGTCGACGCTTTTTGTGTTTTCCTCGCAAAGGGTGGAAGCGATTGGTTCAATTCTGAGTACAAAAAAGAATTTTAGAGCAATAATTTTTTGAGGTATCTTTTCATTAGGAAAATTCCGCTCATTTGTGTCAATCTTTCTATTGTCTTGTAACCCCACTCTTCTTATAAGATTTTATTTGCACGCTCAAAAAGTGCGATTGCATACAGAACAATCTTTTAGGGATCATAAAATATGAAAATATGTCATTCTTCGTATTTTGCTCGAACTACCGAACAACAAGAATGAATTTCAGAATAAAAATTCGGTTAAAGATTAAGCAAAAATTTTGAGGTCTGTAACGGCTGAAATTCCTTCAAAACAAAACATGAAGCCAAAGAAGCATTAGGTTTAGTTTTAAGTACAAAAAAGTCGAAGCTTAGAACATTATCTTTTAGGTGTTTTTTCTTACTCGTCAATATGTCTGCTTGTTGTAATCCCATCCTCCTATTATGTTTTTTTGAGCATGCTCAAAAAATACCTTGCAAATGTAGATCTAGTCAAAAAGTATATTAAGCTCTTTTAGACGTCCCAGAATTTGAAAATATCGCATCCTTCATATTTTTGTAGTAAAGCCTTGCGCATTCTATATGTCTGTATACCATAGTAATGTGCGAAGTTCGAACTACCAATGTAGAATGAATGTCAGAATGAAAATTCGGTTAAAGATTGAGGGGAAAAGTTTTGATGTTTGTAACGATTAAAATTCCTTCATTAAAACACATGGACAAACAATCACTTTAAATCCAAGTACAAGAAGAAATGTTTATAACAATCATTTTTGGGGTTTTTTCATTACGAAAATTCTTATAACGATTGAATAACGTGTTCTACCTGAAGATAGTGAATCTAAAACTGTGTTCGCGCATCCGAGATGAAATGAGATATCGTAGCGTCATCTATGAGAATTTGTCACACCTATGTTTCAACTCTACGACAGAAATGACGCAGTAGCTATATGCTCATATAGTAGGTTTTCTTAAGATATGGACCGACATAGTGGAGCTCCCAGAACTGTACATACAGCTGAAGTTGAAGAAAATTGTTTAGATGCTGCCTTTGAAAATCCTACAGTTGGGGTTAGGAATGTAGCACGAGAATTTCAAGTTTCCAAATGTACAGTAAATACCATTTTTCAAGAGCAACTGCTCCATACATACGACCTGCAAAAAGTACATGGTTTAAGCGCGGATGATAAACCGCAAGGGTAATATTTTGTACATGGCTTTTAAGGAAGTTTGACTACGACAATGGTTTTACTTCGTTAATATTATTTCCGGACGAAGCAGGATTTGGAAGGGATGGGCCCATTAACTCGCATAATTTTCACATTTATGCAGACGAAAATCCTCATGCAATAATACAAATCCGCCACCAAGTACAATTTCAAATTAATTTATGGTCAGGAATAATTAGACAATATTTAATAGGATCCATTGAGTTACCACCTAGACTAAATGGCCAAAGGTACATATGTACAATTTCTTGAAGAATTACCCACTCTGCTGCAAGATCTTCCGCTACAAACACGCGTGAATATGTGGTTTATGCACTATGGCCCTCCACCTCATTTTATTATATTAGTTAGAGAGCACCTAAATAGAGTACATCCAGGCCAGTTGATAAGTCGATCAGAACCTGTATCGTTGCCGGCTAGATCACCAGATTTAAATCCTATGGATTTTTTCTTCTAGGGTGATTTAAAACGACGCGTTTACAATACGCCAGTGGAAACTGTAGATGATCTTCGACAAAGAATTTTCCACCATAGCCAGGAAATGAAAAATAACATCCAAATGCTTTGGAGAGTGCAGCAAAGATTGATTCGTCGAACTCGAGAGTGTGTTATACAAGGTGGTGCTCATTTTGAACAATTTTTGTAGTTAGATTTCCGTCTATTAGTTTTGTTGCCATCCTCATTTGTTATTGTTAAAAACCATAGCAACGCTACTCAGATATTATCCAAAACAACTTGATTATTATGTTAGAAAAATATTTTATTATCATGGTACAAATAATGCAATGGAACATTTAAAAACAAATATCTCGAAAACTGTTAGCTTTAAACACTTCTAACAAGTAAACCTTTTTTGTTGTGTAAATACGAGGAAAGAAGATTTTTCGGTCAGTTGTTGTATACAGGGTTTTGGACTGAGCTATGTTTAGGTCAATCCACAAATTTTGGTCTGCAGTATCTCCAGTTTCGAGATTTCCACACCTTTTGCAGACACTTTGTAAAGCTCACTTCAGCGCCATCTCTGAGACAGTAACCTTTTCAAAATAGATTGCCAATGATCCCAAAGAGCAGAAACGTAACTGTACCAAGTTCTCATGGATGACGCTGCGGTATCTCATTTTATCTCTGATAATTTTTCTGACACACGAATATAGTACTGGGTTGGCTATCTTCAGGCAGAATACTTTAATCTGGGCTATCACTCATTTCTGTCTATTCGTCTGTTTCTTGCAACCCCACTTCTATTATATGTTTTTTTGGGCATGCTCAAAATATGACACAAAATGCCATCTTTTCAAAGAGACATCTTTTATGTGTCCTAAATTTTTCAGCACATATTTACATGGCGCGTTGTTAAATCTTTTTTACTGTTTTTTCACATGTTATGGATGCTATTCTAGCAGGTAACAATGCAACAAACTTATCATCAGTTTTTCGTGCAAACCTGTCAGCCTTCACAGACCACTGCATAAAGATAACTATGCAGCATCCAAACACTGTATCATTATGTAACCTTATCCAACGTGTGAATATATTATTTAGTAATTTGAGGTCAAGAAGATCAATCAAAAATAATCTTCTAATAGATAGATAGATTCTAATAGGATAAACGTTTACCGTAACGTGTTGCTTCAAGGGACGTTTATAATTTAATGCATAAGAAAATATTGTCATTTCAATAAATCATCAGAAGTATGAACTTGAGTACAAGATGGCATTTTGGAATGTTTGTGTGGATTATAGGATCGTCCTTCCAAAATTCAAATTTATGGATATCACTAATAGAACAACCAATAACGACATTGAGATGTAGACTTGAATGGTGGCAAGTAGGTTTACTAGTGAAGGTGTCTATGGTACGGATTTCGGTACTATTGGAAATTGACAGTTCAATGTCTGAATGTAAAAATCACCACTCAACATGTGGGTATACATATTCTCGTTGAAGTGGAGTTATTTAATTGATTTACACAAATGCCTGGGGAATGGTGATTTTGTCATTTACACAATGAACTGTAGGTTCCCAATCCCTTCGGAATCCGTAGGTGAGTCGCGCCATTAGTCCTGTACCTACTAACGGTAGTGTAGGCTGAGTAAGTAAATAATTTATGTCGGTCTATCTGTCTGTCCGCTAATTCTTGATCCGCCTATAAAACTTAGAAAGGACCGGTCGAATTTTGATGAAATTTTCACACAAGGTTAGTACTAACGAAAATGCTTTGTAATTTTTAATAATCGGTCTAGTGCCGGCGGATCTGGGGACAGAAGAGGAAAAAAATACAAAACGCTACTGTGACTCTACTCAACTATTAGAAATATTTCACACATCATAGATTTCCCCGTACTATTGCCCTTAAAACTTAGAATTGTGGAGAAATATTTACGAACGATAGAGAAATAACTGCCTATGTATGGACCTGTTATACATGTTCGTAACTAACTTTTTTCTCAGATAATCTTATTTAAACATACTGCTTTCGTCTGTCTGATCAAAGACAACTGGACTAGGCTTGATCTCTGGGACAACGAACTGAAGCATAGCAACTATCATCTATCCAAGATATAAGGTCTATGGTGTTGTCTTATTTTGATGGGGTGTAATTTGTGCTGAACATAATCCTTTATGAACTGATGATAGCCTTGCGCGGGAAGTGCAGAGTAAACCTACTGGACGCAATTTTTTTGTTCACTACAATATTTCACCACGATCTAGAATCACTGGTGACTCGTAATGTAAGATATAAAGGGGGCAAATGTGTTTTAATAAGTTGCTATTTATAATTCCAAAGTAACATCTCCACAAACTATATACATTTCGCATTATATTTATCAATATAAAATGATTCTAAAGCATTTTATTTCAATTATAACCAATTATTGTACAATTCATATGACTTTTTAATTGTATTTGCTACACACCTGATTACAACACCTGGTTACGATTAAAAATGGCTT